TCGACGAGCGCCACCACCACCACCAGAACACAACCAGCAAGCAGTAGCAAAACAGATACTACTGCACGAGTTCTGCTACTGAGGCTGCTTTTGCTTCCACTATACTGGTGATGTTGCTACCCTCTATGCCGATGTTTGATCTCCAAAGCCATGCAACTCGACACCCATGTCGGGATCTTCGAGCGACACACCTGCCTTTACATCAGCCCCGCCTCCTGTCGCGCCTCAGTGGGCATCTTTGGAGGCTTGGCGCCTCGGCTGATGTGGCCCTGTGGCTCAACTGTGAAGCGACAAGTACCTGCAGATTCAAAGAACCTCACTCGGATTCAAATTGAACAAAGCTTGTGCAACAAGACTGATGTGTGTGTGTGTGTGTCTTTGTAAGGTTTTACTTCTCACCATGGATTGAAAAACACAAGGGGTTGATGGCTTGGGTTGGTGGCTTGGAGGTTAGGGGTGTGGCTTTTCATTTATCCCCAACCTGAATATGTCAAATCAGTCCAACTTCAAACAAAAACAACAAGTTAAGCGCAACATACCCCCTTGTGTTTTCATGACCAAGCTCTGGCCATGCTTACAAAGCCTTGCTCCGAAGGCAAAGAAGGAGTGCTGCAAGCAAGCTACTTCTTGCGCCTATCTCCTCTGCGCATGCAAGTGACTTGCGCTTCTCGACTATACGGCCTGAGTGGTTAGACTGCGGTGGTAAGGCAAGGTACATCCAACTCTCAAGTTTCGTGGTGATTGAAGGACTAACTAGTCGTCAGCATTTCGCCCCGGATAGAAATCATGTTCGCCCATTGCTAGGTGCCGTGGCTCCAACCGTTTTGCCCCAAGCGTCCATCCAGCGAAACCAAGAGCTGCCCCTCTTGACCTGCGCCTTTGTAACTCTGCAAAGAGGTAAAACTGGGGCGCCAGGTGTGGGGCTCTCCCATCCCTACCTCTGGCTCGAGATTTGGGACTCGAAGGCTTCACAACTTCCCAACGCCCCCGTGGGTCACGCCCGCCACGCCCCGAGTCGGGTGCTTTGTGAGTCTCCAGTCTTTGCTTGCAATGCGAGGGGGCCAGCGTGCCAATACAGCGGCCAGACTCATGGGTTGACCCATGTGCGTGGAAACACGTACACCCAGGCCGCCAAGCCTAAACACCTCCTGCAACTGTTGAGTGGCGTTTGTTGTCTGGGACTGATTGCACGTCATGCTTGACGCTTGGCTCAGGCTGAAGCTGCCAATATCTAAGGGTTTTTGTATTACATCATCCTGCAAATACACCCACTGGGTATTGACCCCATTTAGGCACATTTCCGGAAAAGAACCGTGTTGTTTTGAGCCATTCTGGGTCAATTGAAATGACCCAGAATGGCTCAAAATTCATCCATTTCCCAAGGGTGTAATCCCAGGGTGTAATACAAAAACCATCAAACAATAGCATCGCTGTCAGTACACTGAGTTGCTTGAGTCTGCCAACTCATGCAAGAAACGCCCAAAACTCATGATGCCGAAGCCGTACATCGACTCGGCACGCTCTAGCTTTTTTGGCACCATGAGATACGCGCACACCAGTCATCTATGAAGCAAACACCTGCTTGCAAACATTGCATCCGCTTGGAGACATTTTCTTCACTGCCGCCATTTGCCTGCCCCGCTCTCCCGTGCAATCTCAGGCTGGTGCAATTCCGGCATTGAAAGCCCAATTTGTTCCACACCAGCCTCGGACACGGCACATGTCCGGCGCACAGGGACACTGTGTCAACAAGCATCTCGCAAGGACGGCATTTTCTTGAAGCTCCAAGGACAAACGTTTGTGTGGCTTCACATAATTGCACGACCACTTCATTTGCAGCTTTGACGAGCCCTTCTCAAGAGGGAGATGCCTCGTGTTCGCTTGGCCCGATCAAATGAACGCTGATGCAGGCTAGTGCCCAAACACCCTCCCTAGCTGTGGTCCGAAAGCTCCCCTGCCTGAACATGTTGACACGATGCGTCTGATCCTTCTGAGTAAGGATCTTGCTCACCCTTACAATCAAAGCCATCTTTGAGAGGGTGTATAGTCAAATCCTGGAGCTCCAGCAAGTCCGATAGCCCAAACGTATGCGCCGTCGTCAGCCAGTTCAAGTGTTCACAGGTATAGCCACCTTCATTGGTGCTGAACTGTTTTCTGAACTCGCAAACCTCGGTTTATACTACCATGTACCATGTCACACGCAAGAAATGCAAGGCGAGCAAGAGAGGTATTGCAACAACTGAGAATGCTGACATCTTTCCCAAAGCAACACTTTGCATGGATCGTCCTTCTTTCCTCCAATATTGGCCAAGGTTGGCCAAAGTGCTACATCTTGCGCAGACCAAATCCTAAACCAAAACCAGGGAAGATTGGTCCGGAACAACCATTCCTGGCAACCATTCCTCCAAGTCAAGCTCGCTTCAGCGGAAAGCTTCGCGACGACCCTAATCGACCCTAGGCTGCGGGACTCTGTCTGGCACTGCGCGTCGCTCGTCATCGCCTTCGGCGTTATTTGCCTGGTGGCAGGCTCATGCGTCACCTGCAATTCTTGCCGCTTCCACAACCTGAGATGAGGGATCTCCCAGGAACTCGGTTTACCCAGGTGTCACCATAAAATAAGTGCAACGCTCGGCAACGAAATCGAAGACTCCTGACGTCAATGCGACCTCTCTCGGTTTACTGAAATGGAATCATGTTGCTGGCACTCTGCGAGCAGGCACGGGCCCCAATTCTCTTTGACAACTTGCTTTTGCAACAAGGGAAAGTCGAAAGCCAAAAGCTGTCCGTGGATTTCCATGGCAACAAGGGCACCATGGTCTGGTCTGCGATTCACGTCCCCGTACCGAGCTTTACTGTTGGTGAGCGTGTGAAACTAGGTTGGAACACCAACACCTGCTGCTTGTATGTTTGGTTGCAGCTCCAAAGGGATCATCTGATCATTTCAATCTGTCAATTCCGACGGCCTCCCTCTGCAACAAACATGCCTGGATGAAAGCAACAAATATCAAATTTGGGATCAAGGCCGACCCCATCGGATCATCTTTGCGCATATCGCCTGTGAAATTGATTCGGGCTCCACACTGAGCACAGAGAGTTTGTCTTTGAATGAGGACCCCCGCAAAATGGTCGATGTTCTTTTGGTTCCCTTTAAACTCAAGGTGGAAAGGGCACCATGCCTCAAACGTCACACACGCAATGGGCGCAGTGAGCGCTGCGTTGGCTGCGAGCGCGCCTGAAGTGCTCACTGCCACATGACCAGCTCGCCGCTGATAGGCTGAAGACGCTGTGGCTGTTGCCGCTGATCTCCTCGGGTTCTCAAGTTGAAGGATCATGCGATTGAAGTAGAACCTGGTGGTTGTGGGTCCAAAGGATGTACCCAACATGGCTTGCCCGATCGGTAAATGGAAACATGGACTAAAACCTGCAATCCATATCCTGGTGGTTTAATTTTGACCCATACCCTGGTGGTTGAGGGGCTTTGACAAGGATCCCGGATCTTAAATGTGACACCCCCGCTGTTTGATCAAAGAGTTGATTACTCCTGGGCTCTCAACATGGGGGTGTCCCTGATTTTTGTGGGATTCATCACTTTTCGAGGGCACACCCCCATGGGGGTTTATGAATCTGGGGTCAACATTATTTCATGCGCTCACCTTTCCAGCGTGCTTTTGAAACCATGTAGATTAGAAAACAGATTTGGTAGTGCAACACGGGGGGAAACGTGCTGCGAACAAGAGTCAAAAACGGAGCAGCACAGCAAAACGCCGGCCGGTCAACGGGAACACGACGTACCAATCAAAAGGAGGCGCCCTCGCATCGTCGCAAGCAATCCATTCCAATCATTCTGTTGGGAACACAAAGGAATCTTCCCAAAACAAAACGTGCCTTGACGCACGCCTCTGCTAGCTTTCACACTAGCTTGATGTCTTGGCAAATACAAGCTTGTGCTTTGATAGTTTCAGAAGACGTGAGGGCTCCACTCCTTGTCTCCAGCTTTGAAGGTTAAACATGACCAGTTGCCATACATACTTGCTTTTCTTGAGCAGCGGATCGACCGCATGGGCTTGAAAGAGCTCGACCGCAAGGGGTTTTGCCACGTTGCCATCCGAAGCTACCTTCGCCTCTCGCCAATCTCCCCACCCGTCTGCACCAAGCGTCAGATTGTGCGAAGTGTCGAGACCCATGGGATCCGACGGGCAAAGAATTAGACTCCGCGCCGTGGTTCTCGTTCTGCGAGCGAAAAAAAAAAAAAAAACACTCCGCAAGTTCTGCACATCATGCGTGATGCGAATTGGTGACGCCATTGAAGCGCAAGCCTCCCTTTCTGGCGAGCAAAAAACAAACTAGATCCTTGGCTACAATAAATTCATGGATTCAAACCATATATGGAACACCCAGGGAGGATCACTATTTACGCCTATCCCTGTTCAAAGCCACAGTCCAAACGTGCGGACACTAGTCAGTCACAAACACATCGTCATGCGCGCGCGTGTGCAAATGCACGCTGGCAAGTGTGCGGAGGAGGCTTGATTCACCGGATGTGTCCAAGTTCTTCAACATGGAAATAACTATATTCGGCACGTTCAAAATTACTTGTTCCCCAAAAGAGCCTGGCAAATTTGGTGAGTCCCTTACAGAGCCCCCGTGTCTGCCTGACAGTATGATCGAACCTCACATTACGTTCCGGTGTCCATGGCAGCACACAATGACTTCTTGTTCTCAGAATGAACATGCATAACGCCTTCTCCCCATTTGCAGATATATGTTTTTGTCACATGATTGCAAGTCAACAAACTACCCCAAGCCTTTGATACAACAGGCGCCGCCTTCAGCTGAGGCAAGTCCAGTCGCAACTCAAGAACCCATTTGCTCAAAACGATGAGTTCGAAGCAAAAGTCCCCAATTTCGGAGCCGTTGAGAAATCGATCCCTAAACTTGGTTGCCATTGATTTCTCTGCAAAAAGCTTAACTTTTTGTGGATCCAATGGAAAATCCGATATTTCAACAAAAAAGTGAAAGTCCAAAGATCCAACCAAATAGCCGTAAAGAATAGACGGGGCCCGGTCACTTCGGGTAAGACAAGTCATCCGTTTTTTATGTGGGAGCTTCGGGCCACGCCTGAACACCATCGAGAGTCTCATTACGATCCCGAAGTAATCCCTTCCCCATGCACCCCAAAAAAGCATCGTTTCCCCACACCGGCTCCTTTTTGCTTGTATTTTAGAACAGGCAAACTCTAAACCAATACTCAACTGGCGAACTGGCGGATTGCTCGCAACTCTTCGGGGGTACTCCAGGACCCAAGCTCCCGGAGAGAGGGACAATTTCTACTGCGGCCAAGTGACAAAAGTAACAGCTTTGAACCAAAACCAAACAAGAAACAATTTGAATTTGGGGTTTAGAGCTTAAAGTTTAGTGTTTAGAGTTTAGAGTTTGAAACAAAGAGCTTGCCCCTTTCGAAGCTACAATTTGGGACCGTTTCAAGGGATGAGTACATTCTCTAAGTACCCTATCAACACATACATCGTTTGGCCCCTAGCCAATGGCTATTTGTGTTGATTATAGGGAAGGGAGTACCAAGCAACAGGAAATGAGTTCCATGCCAAACATGTTGCGCGTCTTTCCCTGCCGGTGTCCTTTTCCAAAGCAAAAGGATGGGTAAATGAGTAACAGTCAACGGATCGATCATACCTGTAGTGAATCTCAGTGGCTGAACATATCTCCATAAGCGTGCCACAGTCTGAGACCAAAGGCTTTCCGCAAGTGCATGGGGATGCCGGGGATTCTGCCAGCCAAAGATGGCAAGGTCCCAAAGATCAATGGGCAGGTGGCGAGTTGTCTTTTTGGGGAAGTCCGGTGCGGGAACTGCCTCAAGGGGCTGCACCAATCGTTAGGGAATGAACATATATTGAGGAGGCGTACGCGAATTCTATATGCCCAGTGAAGTACTGGAGATAGCCAACCCTTTGCATAAAACAATTAAATCATGCCGAAATTTCAAACCCTGCGGGGTTTATGAAAAAACGTGGATATCAGAAATTCAGCCAGCCAAACAGCGTGACACTGGTTGACTCGAACCAAACTAAACCAATGCAATGCAATGGCCAAAGCCTGCATGGGCTTGCCTTTTGGGCGTGCCTCATGTTTGGCTGTACAGGAAAACTAAAGGAAGAGCGAAGCCACTTTAGGTGCTAAAAGCACCCACGTGAATCAAGCAACCTGACCTAGCGCCACTTCCCGTCATTCGCGCGATGCCTCTGAGGGCATTGACCCAGCGGAGCCCACGGGTTTCATCCTGGCAGGTACTTGTGGGAACCCCTCCAACTCTGTTTAGGACTCATTCACCTCGTTTTCCATTGCATGTGTTGTTTGAGCTCAACCAGCTATATGTGGCCCTACCTCGTTTTGGGAGTTTTCCTGCCTCTTTATTCAGTGTGGTTCCCAAAGAGTGTTTCCAGCCGGCCTTTACTGTGGTCCTCTGTAACTCAGGTAAGCAGGGGCTGACTCTGCTTGATTTCCACGAGGGTCACGTTGGTGGGTGTCATGTACACTTGTTGTTTGTGTGTGTTGCCACATTTGGTCGTCCAAATCTCTGCAACGCATCATACGCCCCCTCCCAAAAAAGAAAAAGAAAGAAAGAAAGAAAAAACATGATGTTGGAGGAGACCCCAGTTTTCCCAAAGCTTCAAAGTTGAATTGAACTTGCTTGCGACACGGAATTCCTAGCATCTAGACGTAGGGTATCTCTACTGGAACACATCGCACCTATGATAAGGCGTTCTTCAGTCGGCATACTCAACAGCCTGAACAATCGCAACAAATCACCGCGGCTTTGCTCAAACGGAACGGCACAGTTTATGGCCAGTATCAAACCAACAAAATGGGTATGGCTGCTTCTTTTCTCTCCGTTTTTTTTTGGGGGGGGTACCCCTTGTTGGTGGTTGAAGGGAAGCCAGAAGGAGAGTCACCATGTTGGGGGGGTCCCCTACAAAAGGAAACAATGTCACCTGTGGCTCCTTAGCGCCTTAGCTGCTCACCTCATGCTGTGAGTTCACGCAACTTCGGCCTTTAAACAAGTGGCCTGTCTCAAACAACTAGTGGCCTTTAAATAATGTAGCATCGAAATGTCCGAACCATTAAAGTAGAAGTGGGCAAATGTATATATATATAATATCAAACAGTTCTGATGCAACAAACAAACAAACCAACAAACAAACAGACAGACAAACAAACAAACAAACAAACAAACACACCAACCAGCCAACCAACCAACCAACCAACCAACCGACCGACCGACCGACCGACCGACCAACCAACCAACAAAAAGGGTCCCTAAATAATGAACAAATGCGCCCATATGAAGCTCAACATGCCATTTTGGTGTACCCATGTGGGCCAAGTGCTTGGCCACTGGCGTGTAGAGGGTTGATCAGTATTTCAGGGTGAAGCCTATGCATGCTGATTGCAGGGCTGACCTAAAAGCCAGAAAACTGTCTGCGAAGACGCAAGGGTTTCTCGAGCAAAGCGTAGGATAGGATCTCACGTTCGTCGCGCATTCCAATCTCCCCGTCCTTTCTTCCGTCGAATTTACGCGCTCGCTGGGATGTAATGGATAGGACAAAGGCAAAGTTCAGGTTGCCATTGTGTACATGTCATGAGGTGGTTTGTATTATATGTTGTGCTTGTTTTGTGATTTTGTCCGCCTGCCTGCCTGCCTGCCTGCCTGCCTGCCTGCCTGCCTGCCTGTTTGCCTGCCTGCCTGCCTGGCTGCCTGCCTGCCTGCCTGCCGGCCTGCCTGCCTGCCGGCCTGCTTATTTGTTTGCTTGTTTGTGTAGTTTTCTTGGTGGGCTTCATTGAGGTGTGGATCCACCGACCACTGTTGAAGTCACCGATTATTGCCATAACCATTAAAACGTGGTTTTGCGGGGAATAGTGGTGCCCAACATAGTTGGTTTGCTCTTGGTTTCCTTTCACCAACCAAAAGGGGCTGCGGCATTTTGAGACGCCTCGATTAGCCTACTCCCTGCAAGCCGATCCTGGGTCAAGGGCAAAGCTTTGGTGGAAAAACCGTTGGTCATTGCAGGGAGCCTGCCCAAAATCATGGGTTGGATTGGGGGGGTGCAAAGGAGCTCCTGTTGAACAACACATTGAACGCCGCTTCGGCAAGCTTTTGTGGCATGTTGATCCGAAGCGCGTCGTTTCTTGCTGAAACGGTCCATCTCCAAAGTGCGCATCACAAAACTTAAACATCGCCGCCGTCTCGAAGGAAATGCAGCTGATTGCAACCGCTTGCCAGCTCTACCAGCACGACGAGCCCTTCTTTACCCGGATCCAGCATCTCGTTGCAAAAGAAAACAATAACGCTTGAATATTGGGACCCTCACCGGAAATGTGGTTTGATTTGCGGAGAAGTTGGCCGCAAGTGCGTAGCATACGCCACAACAGGCGCAGTGTGACCGTTCAAGTTGACAAATGAGTGATGTTGTTGTTTCCCCTTTGTTTCTGTTGAATCTCATTCCGTATGCGCACAGTCATGGTGATTTTCGGGCATTCGTCAGGCATTATTTTGCGGGAACCACTACCATGTGCCAGGCTCATAGCTCATTAAGGGATCTGGCCATGCATCTGCAATGAATCTTGATGTCCTAGCCGGTGCGCCCAACAAATACTCTCCAAACAGTTTGGATTTGGGCTAAACTTGAATAGGATTTCCTGGTTTCATCGTTTTCTGTCCAAAAACATGAAAGCCAAACTGGCTAAGCGCGTCAGGTAGGCGGTGTAAGTCCCAGCCAAGTCTGCGGAGGAGCATCCGACGCCTGAGAAACTCTGCACGGCCATCTGCTAGAAACGCCAAATGGCTTGGTTGTATAAACCTCCTAAAGTGGATGTGGTCTGGCCAAACCACTCGGTCATACCCCAATCTAAACTTGCAATCCATACGCAGAAAGGTGTTTTTCGTGTTTGCTCGAAACCGAACATGGCATTTGATAACTCGACAACTTGAGAGATCATATACCGAGCTTTCGCGAGGCGAGGGTTCGCTAAGAAATGTCTCGCCAGGCTGAACCAACCCTAAGCCAAACTGAGCAGCACGTATTCTGATGCACTGAACCAACCAAATATCTCGGTCAAACTCCTGGTGTGGCATAGATTGCATCTCTCGGTCAGCGCCTAAGGCCTAGCGGCCTCCCAGCATGCACAACCACAAGCTTGCTCGTGTCACGCAGAAACCACACACACACAGCCCTGGCTCAACACAAATACCTTGCGGGAATCTTGGGTTATGTCGGAAAGCACCACCAACATTCAGAAAGTTGGGTGGCTCGAATGGGGCAAATGAGCAAACACCGTACAAGTACCTAAACCTAAAGGGTCGACTAACGTCTAAACTCAAGTAGAGCAAGTCCCCAACGCACAACATGTCCACCGATCCGTGCCTCGGTGTGTGCGGACGCCAAAACAGATCCACGCCTCGGCCGGAATGAAGCGCACCTGCAGGCTGGTCACGCTGTCGCAGTCGTTGTCACCTTGGGAAACAACACCCGAGAGGGTACTATGTTGAAAGAGATGGGTGGTACGTATCCAAATAGGGGTACCCCCCTCAAACTGGAGGGTTTTCCCTTTGTTACCCTTGAACACCCAGTTCTGGGCTTGAAACTTTGGACATTGGGTTGTTGGGGAGGGGGGGGGTCTGGCTGGGAAAAGTCGCGAATCTCGTGGCGACGTCTGGTTGATGTTCGATTGGATGGGACTTCACCTGACAGCATCAAGCAGAAACGTGATGGCACCTCGAGGCATTTTGAGCTATGGCTTCTTGCTCCGAGTTCTGGTTGCTCTGGCTCGACCCCCGGCTCCGATTTCCAAAGATCCGTTAGTGAAACTTCTGTCCCGCCAGAGGAAAACTGCTTGGCACGAAAGAGAGCCGTGCGACAATCCCAAACTCCCAAACGCATGTCGCATCAGCAACGCCCATTTCGGACCAATGGAGCAACTGCTGCACATGTTGCGTGCTGATACACTCAACATGCTCAACAAAGAAGTTCTGTGGCTGATGTAAAGGGACTGGCTGATCCACCCTCATGACCATCCGAGCTTTCTTGGCCACGGCACCATCTGGCACCGCTGGCAGCGGCAGCTTAGGCGAGTTCGGATTCCGCGGAGTAAAGCAGGTCGCGGGTGAATGCTGTGTTTGGATACCTGCGCCACGGGATCTATGGCTGTGTCTCCATTGGTGCACGGCCCCTCTCCATGGGTGGAGATGGTGGAGTTCTTTTGGATTTGTTTTGAATGTTCAAACCAGGCCCCATAGAGGTTGGGTTCAATTCGCAGCAAGTACGAGCTTGAAAAGGAAGTGCGATGGTCTTGCCATCTGCGCCTTAATTGAGATGTACGGACCAAACCATGTTTGGGAAGGCTTTTTGTTACGCCAACCGAGTGGTTGTTGGAGTTCCCAAGTCACCAAAAGACAAATATCGAGACGCACCTTCCAGCTCCATTCTGAGGGGTCCTTCTGAAATGCGTCCAATCCCAAACAAAAAGTGGGTGGTTTCTCTTGAGAGAATGGGTCAGGGGGTTGGAGCCCCGTTAGATGTGGAGCTTGGGTTTGCTAAATCCCTCAAGGGTGTCAAAAACATTCAGTGCAATGCAGCTTCCTTATTTAGCCAACATGGCATCAATGTGTGCCATTGGTACATTAAAAAAACAAAAAAAAACAATCCAAACCAAAGAATCTGAGACTTTGACAACGGAAATGGGTAGCCCGCCGGCCTGGATGGCCAAGCTCTTTATGTTTCCCTGATACCCCAGAAATCCCAAAGAAGCAAATGGACGAATCTATGTCTTTCGAGGATGCACAAACCCCAGGACTCCCAGTAGCTCTGCAGAAACTCCCAAGTTTCGGGGTCCATCTGACCTCAGGCCTTCGAAAGACCAGGGGAACTTCTGATGAAATGCCAGGCCTTTGCCCAAATTCCGGAGCAAGCCTTCGCATGGGCGTTTTTGTTTGGTCGACTTGAGCATCTGCTTTTGCGGATATGCCAGAAATGGAAGTAAACTAAGCAAACCAACATCCCACACTACACTGCAGTCCCAAAGCAAACGACGCATACTTGAGACAGAAAGCCCGTGCTCTGGCACACGGGATGCTGATCTTGCATCACAACCACGTGAGATACCCTCTGAATGCTGCCGTGGTGAACTTGCTGAACGACACCAGCGCAGTTTGGATGTCCACTGCATTCATTGGGTGTGCGTGTCTTCCCCTAAAATCATACCCGTCTAGTAGAATCTGTGACCTACCGTACGAATGTTTTCATGGCTGAGCGAAGACGTCGTCGCACGAATGAGAGAGAGAGAGAGAGAGAGCGAGAAAGACAAGGACGTAACCATGAAAAGAAAGACGTGAAGCATCGACACGACCAAAACAAACGCGAAGCACGAGAATGCGATACAATCCAAAGGCTAGGAATGAACTGCATAATGCAGTCGACATTGGTCCGAGCCGTCTGTACAACAAGGATGACGAGGCATGAACATTGCGTGAGGTTGCAACTAGCATTGCCCCTTCATGCTGCAAATAAGTCTCTCTCAAAATGGCTGACCATCCATGGATGGCTTCCTTTGGTGTCCCTTGAAAACAACCCTAAAAAAGGAACCCTCAAACAGAGTTAGCATTTCAGAAACACAAGCGTGACATCCCCCAGATCTTAAATATGCCCAAATCCCAAAATCAGAGTTGGTCATGGACTCCATCGAAACCCATAACCAAGTAAAGGACCTACACCATGAGGTGAGTCATAATCAACCTTGGTATTAAGTTGGTTTACTTAGAAGCGTGTACAGAATACAAAGGGCGGCAGCACCTCTCTATGGTCGGGATTCTCCCTTACTGAAGGTCAGAGGCTACCAACTCCAAAACACAAGGACACACCCACGAACCATCACTTTTAAATCACACACAAAAACACGCACAGAGTGTAGCAACTCCCAAGAAAAAGCAGGGACACGTCTCCACCTTTTTAAAACCGCTTTTTGACTGCCATCCCTCGTGACCCACGTGACCCACGTGACCCGCGTGACCCGCGTGACCCCCCCGGAAGCGACGCTCGGGCGCAACCGGCGCCTGTGGAAAGGCAGCCGATCCACCTGGGGGACTTCAAGCCACTCGGCAGCAGCCGCAGACGAAGGAACTCCTCCCCTGGGAGATTTTCGGCCGGTGGAAATAAGGGTGGTTCCAATGGAAAAACAACACCATCTTGGGGTGGTTTAAGTTTAAAAGGGAACCCAAAGGAAAACAAACTGGGAGGTACCCCCATTTTGAGACGAACCAATATGGGATTTATGCATTCTAACTCTTTCCAGATCCCCTCCATATCCCAAAAACAGCCCTGAAACATCCTAAAACCCAACTTTCCATAATCATGAATGGGCTTGTTTCACAATGCTGACCCCTGAGACTGGCCGAATGCTTCCTTTTTGCTTTTGGCTTGCCTTACCAAACCGCAACAAGAGACAGGGTCACCTGCCTCGGCGTTTAACATTCCAGGCTCACTGTATAGTTTCTTGCAGCCCAGAAAGGGATTTTTTTATGATTATCATCGAAAACAGCGGAATGGACACACCTCCGTTCGGAGGATCTGGATCCTATAAGACTGGAAATGGGTGTGCGGGGAACCCACATGATGAGTTTCCTTCAAAAATCAGCCTCGGTGTCCTTCAAATTCAGAAGTGGTATCCCAAGAGCACCCGGAACCCTTCGGGAACCTAGCCCGGAGCGGCCCCGAACAACTCCGGAGCATATCTGGGCCTGTCGACCCCGTAGCGTTCAGCTGGGCAAAAGTGCTGGTGTCAGGGCACAATGGGTATGGCCTCAAAGGCAACCAAAGGGAAACCGCCCCAAACCCGCACAGCTGCAGATCGAAGATGCCAGCCTGCTTCTCTACGCAAGCGCACCAAAATGGTGTGGGAGCTGTTGTCGCTGCGTGCCAGCAGCTGGATCATGTGCTGGTCCTCTTCCGATAGTGTCAACATTTTGGTGGCTGACCAAAGGCTGAGCATGCCCGGAATCTTCCCATTGAATCACCATAGATCACCCCACCCAAGGGAAGTCCCAAGTACGACTTATTAACTTCCCCAAAAAAAGAAGCAAGTAGTCAAAAGGAGCCATGCTTCTTTTTCGGAACGCAAGTCAACAGGCTTCCCGCTCATTCCAAAGCCCCCAAGCAATACCACTTATTGGGCTGAACGTCTGGTCCAACACAAACTTAAAAAACCCAAAACGATCCAGCAGCGTGGATGCACTGTGGCCGCGGCCACTTTTCCCTTGGGCTGAAAGGGCACCCTCCGGCAAAGCGCTCACCTGGACATGCGGCATTTTCTCACCTCTCCTCGGGTGAAATTCTTTTCTGGGGTCCACCTCTACACTGGCCAGAAGCTGCCAGGTCTTTGCAGATAATGCTCTGCTTCTCGCATCCTTGGGGCTTGAGCTTGGCCTTGCGATAGGCCTCATCCATGGTGCGTAGAATTGCTTCCGGTTCGTTCTCCGGGTCACCTCTCTGTGATCTCAGGAGAATGGCGTTGGTTTAAGGCGCACCCTCGGGCATAAGCCACGCTTTTGACTTCACGCTGTTGACGTTTGCGTAGATGCTTTCGGTGCAGGCGAGGTCCTGAGGTCGATGCTTGATTGTTCGACTTCCCCTGCGCTGATGACCTCCTTGATCTTCAGCTGGAGCTCCGTCCCGAGCTGCCTGATCGTGTTCTCGTACTTCTTGTAGCGCGCGAACCGCAAGGCTGCGCGACGATCTACGCGACGCACGTGCCTGTTGCTACCTGGTCACCGATTGGTCACACGCAGCCTCCTTGTGGCCAGTCAGTTGATTGGCACAGGGACCGCGCCACTGCTCGCTGCCCCCGTTGTAGACATTATGCTCGCTTACATCCGGGCGGTTGAGGACCATATCAAGAATCCGCCTTTCTATGGTCGGCTCGTCCTCCAAAGCAGCAGCGTCTTTTGCCTTGCTCGTGTATATCGGGTTTCGGGGCTCAGGCGCGCCAACGCATCAAGGCGCGCGTCCGTGAGACATGCGCGTACAAGAAAGTCTTGCGCGTTGAAGGCTGCATGGTTCCAAATTGGAGCGGCGGTAGCGTTGCTGGGCTTGCGGTGGCAAGGCATGAGGTTGCCGCTGCGGCTGGCCAGGCATTCCTCGTGTTTGGGCGGTTGTGTTGGGGGCACGCCACAGCTCCGCGTCAGCGCCTTCCGCCTGCCTTGCTCTGCTCCCCTGCCTTCACCGCGAAGCTCATCTCGCCGGGAGCAAAATTTCCAAAGCCATCCTGGATGTCGACGGGCTCAATGAAGATGTATGTGGCGCTGCCTTTGCCGTGGCCGCCCTTCCACTTCCACTCGCGGGATTGCCTCTATTGGGCCACCGTGCCCAGAGCCTGTGCGAGCTCCGGGCTCATCTCACACTGATGAGTCAGGTTCTTCCATTACAGTCGGCCGCGTGCCTGTCACTGTCCACACTCTGGCACTCTCAGGGACGTCCATTGCATCTTCATCTTTGCGTTGCTTGCGTTTGGGTTGTGGGCAGGTTTAGGGGTGGGTTTAGGGTGGGTTTAGGGTGGATTTGGGATGGGTTTAGGGTTGGTTTAGCGTTGTGGGCTCAGGGTTGGTTCAGAGTCGGTTTAGGGTGTGTGTACGGTTGGTTTAGGGTTGGTTTTGGCTGGTTGGGCCGGGCAGGTTTGGGTTTGGAGTTGGTTTAGCGTGTGGGCTGCGGGTTGGTTTCGAGTCGGTGTAGGGTGTGTTTACGGCTGGCACGAAATTCGCACCTGACCTACGTGCTTCACCTGCCGTAGCTGCCAGTGCTGCGCCTTGCGAGCATCCCGAAGCACCGAAATCCGCAAAGGGCTGCACTTCGTAAACATTTCTATTCCCCCGCCACACACCTTTCTTCGCGTTTGCTTATTCTTCTCAGCTCTTATCTTGTCATCTGTGTCGGAGCGTAGCTTTCAATTAGTTGCCGTACCACGGGAATTCCTTCCAAACTTCCTTTGGTTAGCGTAGCTATCGACTCATTCGTACATATATATATGAGTGTTTTTGTTCCTATTTGTCTATCTGTCTGTGTGTCTGCCTGTCTCTCCGTCTGTCTATCTTTATGTCTATCTAGTCTAATGCAGTTTCATCTAAGGTAACTTTCTATCTATCTATCTACATACCTATCTATCGATATGTCTGTCTGTCTATCCATCCATCCATCCATCCATCCATCCATCCATCCATCCATCCATCCATCCATCCATCTATCTAATTAATATGGCTTATTTGCTCGTGTGCTTTATGTTGATTGTGTTTATACAATATACTAAGTTATGTTGGGATTCTACATGCATGAAATGATGGTGGCATCAGGCTGGTGAACATTGGCACATTGAATGCAGCTCACATGATGCATTGAATGCATCTTGCGGCATGTGACTCCTTGAGCAAACATCCCAATAACCGACACTTGTCGAGCGTCTCAGAGGCCTCTGAGCAAACCAACTGCAGCCACACCTGGAAGTATCGACAAATGAGTCATAATCAAAACCCTGGTATTAAGGCTGTCTGCCCAAATCCGTGTAAATGACTGAAAGGGTGGCAGCACCCTGGGATTGTCTCTTACTAACCATCAATTGCCCTGATTTTGATTGCTGCTGCCTTCAACTTACCGCCTGATTTCAAGTTCCAATCGGATCCTCATAGGGGACCATCTCCAGGATCGACATTCCAGTGGGATCAAACCTCAGTTCTGTGCGACTTCATTGCACAACTCTAAACCTCACAAAATGTCTACGTAAAGCTACCTCCTCCTGACCCGAGCAGGAGCCTGTCACCTCCTATATCGCCAATGCCTTCTTGTACCGGCTTTCTCCAACAATTGGATGCCTCCCAAATGACTTCGACACACATCTAGTAGCCAGAGACTGCGCGCTTGCCCACTTGAGAACAAGATCTGACTGGCCTTACCAACACAGCAAGCCAAACGGAAAATGTTCACCTAATCAGGAACTACTAATCCAACATCATCCAATTATCATCTACATGGACGCGGCAAAACATCCTTCTTCGCCGCATCAACCAACGCTCGCTGGGCGGATTACATCACACAGTCTTGTGGACATGCGCACGATCCATCTACGCAAATCACATCTGCCTCAGAACGCCATGTGCCTTGCCTGGATCATCTTAGTATACTAGGTCCTCCAGTATTAGAATAAGGGTACCTTATTTTTCTGTAGTTTATTTTAGTAGGGGAACCCTCTCCCAACAAAGAAACGGTAAAAGGGCGCCTAGCTGGGGGACCTAGTATACCTTGGTAGGCACCAGCCCCTTGGTCTGGAACCAATGCTCGATCGAGCACGTGTTCGAGAGACCGGATTGCCCTGTTGAGATCCGCATGAACACCTCATTGGCCTTCGGCTATGGTGATCCATGTGAAGACAGCACCCTCAGTTGCCCAAAAAGGGGGGCTCTTCATTCTTCAGTGGGAGGACTGGCGCGAGGGGACTCCGCAAAAAACTACGAGCTGCTTCCAATTCAAAATTTTTGGCTCTAAACTTTCAAGCCGAGCACCACACCATCGCTTCTCCCCCTGGTTTCTTGCCACCAAACCCCGTTGAGCTGCTTGGGTCTGCCGATTTTTGAGTCGGCACCCCCAACTTGGACTTGCTTTTATATGTTCGAAGCCAAAAACCAAACCGACCCTTCACCCTTCCATGTTGGGTGTCCGTCTACCTTCCCCCCCTTCCCCCCCCTTCCCCCCTTCCCCCCCTTCCCCCCCCTCCCCCCCCCCCCGTCAGGCTCAGGGCGCCCAAAGAAGGCCGACTCTGAGCTGGCGGAGCTGATGCTTAGGTCCAGCTCTAGGCCTCCCAACGCGATCCGTGCGACATCGGTGGGGAATGAGACCTGGAACGACCCTCCAACCGACTGCTGGGCAACCTCTAACCGACTGGGTAACATGTGAGGAATGATCCCTGAGTCATAGTAACACATATGAGCCGAGTGACACCATACTGGTGGGTTCCTTTGGACCAAACTGGGTTCATTCCCTACTTATCCTACTTCTCGCAGCAAGAAAAGCGGTGAGGACTGGGGAATTGGTCGAAGGGCTTTCTCGGAGCCGTCGAACCAACTGCGTGTCGAGATTTAAGGCTGACCAAGGCTTGGAGGTGATCTCAAAGCTGGTTGTTGGAAGCTCCTTTCCAGCTTTGGAGGGTCTACAACTGGTTTCTCTTCGGATTTTCAGGGTGTAATCAAACATGACATCAAATCTGGTTTCCAATCGGGCTGGCAGCACCGAGAAGGGGGTCATCGAAACTAAGCCACATTTCAGGAGAAGCATGAGGCTGTGCCGTCTTTGAAACTCTCCAAGCTCTTAAGTCCTTGTCGCAGCCGATGTCTTGCTTGGAGTCTGCCAGTTCCCCAATCCATGCTGGCCATGCTGGTTTGAACTGACGGCACACACTTGTTGCAAAAGGCAGCTGCACCTTGGGCAATCGTACAACAAGCGTCGCGGCCAAGCATCACTGGAGAGACACCCCACATAATTCCCAAAGCAATGCTCAGTCTTTGTCAAGACTCAATGCTCAGTCTTTGTCAAGGAATGCGCAACTATCGTGTGATAGGGGGAATCCGCCACTCAGGCACTTGACATCACACCAAACAAAACTGTGAAATCATAGCCCAGGAATGTGATAGCCATGGCTACCCCAAATTCATAGCCATGTAGGCAAGGAAACCGATCCGGAGGCCGGATATTGTTTGCTGTCTTTTGGGCCCATGATCCAAAAGAAAAACCATGGTGTGGGTGTGGCTCAAAATTAAACTGCTGGGGCAAACCGCCGGTGTTTGCCTTTGTTTCCATATATATATATATATGTGTATATATCAAGGTGCCACGTTGGTTCCATATGTTGAGCCGTGAGTTGAAAAAACCAACAGGTGCCGATCCCCAAACCGATTGTCTGGTCCAAGGCACGGAGGATGGCAGATGTAGGGGGTGCCGCGATCTGCGCACGGAGATCTCTTTTCAGCAAGTCACCCTAAGCCTGCACAAAAGGCTGCATCACTTTGTACTTGCTTGTGTTCCATTAGCAATCAACACCAGCTTCTTTTTGAATCTGAGGAGCCATTAAACATCTCAAAAGTCAAATCCCCACCCTCAAAGGGTCCAAGACCGCTTCACTGACGCTACATTGGTATGTGTCAAACTGTAAAAATTGGGGGGACTAACATGCTGATGCTCCTTGGTTACCGCTCAAACTTGAACCAACCTGAAAAGTAGATTTGCCCTCAACAAGAACACACAAAACCAGACCATGTCAGAATCTCTTTGTGGATGCAGCCTTTCTAGTGCCGCATCTTTCAAGTGCCACAGCATTCTGATGCCTCGAGAACCAACCGGCTAACCCTCTTTTAACGACCTCCGCCCAATGACTTGAGCACCTGTTTCGGGCTCTGACCTTGAGGCCTTGATACTTGCGACGAGAATAGGCTAACTCAACGAGTTGTCAAACCTGGCGCTTGAATGTCGCCGTCACCTGGTCGGGCGCAACGCTGGCAAGGAGTATGTCATTTTCAGAATACCAGCCCAATTTGGCAGATAGAAGCACTATCTACATGTCGTGGCTATAACTACGAGGCATGGTCGCAACTCTGCACTAAGATCACAATATGTCGCAGATCGATTTTGTAATATTGAGCAATTTAACTACAGCGCATCTATCAAAGGTTGTAGGTCGTCGCAGTTCCATTACTCACGCTACCATGTTCCTGGGCAATTCAGTAGCCTGCCATACGCAGGTTGCGATGGAGCAATTCTAGGGTTACACCGTTCAAGTAGATGTCTCAACTCAAGTTACGTACGTGAAGGGGTTGACTACACCAAAATGACCACTGTGAGGTGTACTTTCACCCGACACGCAGAATTCCGAGTCCCTCCTGCTCATCTTCGGATTCAATCGCGGTCACTGACCCTATCGCTGACCTTGGCTTTTGAGCAGCTATATAAACTAGTCCCCTATGTTTCCAATTACATCCCTTGAGGTTCTCAAGGGTGATGCTTGAAGCCACCAAAAGGGGAAATATGGGGAGTTCCAACTGCTACAGGCATGGTGTTCGATGTGTGCAGAGTGCAGAGTCCGCAGGGTCTGTAAAAACCAGTTTCTTTTGTTAGACATGTGCCTGTCAAGACGCCTCAAGTTGCCTGTGCATGTAAACGAGTCAGCACAGAGAAAGAAAAAAAGAGAGAGGGAGAGGGAGAGGTGATGCAAGGTAGATAAGAAAAGAAGGTATGAATCACATGGCTGTGTCTTTTTTAGGGGGCCACCAGAAACGGTGGTTCTCCTGTTGGTTTCCCTATTAAGGCCACAAACAAAAGAAAGGACACACCCACATGTCGCACACAACCAACGCTGATGACTAAATCTAATCGGAGTCCTATGGCTGCCAAGTGAGAGTGCAACGCTCAACAATAGTCGCCACCGTGTTTCTCAGTTTTATAGCCCTGTAGAAATAGTCTTAAACTGATGCACCCAGCAAACAAAGCATATTGTTTCTCACCTCCCCAGTCGATTGGCCAGAAAAAGTCTACACTTGTTGCTTCCCACTAAATGGTCTAAACCCGGAGGGAAAAAAAAAACGATCAAAGTCCAGGAACTCAGGGAGAAAGGGGTTTTCACACCTTGCAAATGGCATCGATGGACCGCACAACAAATTGGGTCTGGATGAAAATCGGTCCCTCTAGTCCTGCCACCTTGAAACATCCAAAGCAGTCAAGCCACAGGTTTGCCAGGGCTGGGCGGATAGAGGCCAACTTTGAAATTCTGAAATCCCATGGGAAACAAAGAGGGTCCCCTGACCGAAAAGGATCAAAAAGTCAAAGGCGGACTCTTGAAGAGACGAAACACTGTTCGAAAATTCGAATGGGGTGGTTTCAAAGCCAAATAAAGCAACCGAAGTCTGTAGCTGATACTCAATTTACGCATTCATAACCAAATTACTCCAGATTTGAGTAGAATGCGTGCCAAGCGGCTGATCCACAACCTTTACGCCTGACCGTCACTCAGGCAGGTGAGACAAAGGGACGCCTCGGATTTGTTGGACCCGGAACGGGTTCGCTTTGAGTAAGCCCTGCACAAAAAAACAAACAACAACTGGACACCTGATGGGCCAAATCCACTTCACACCTGCCGTGGTTTCCCCCGACCAGCTTTGGCAATCGTAAAATACAAACGGGCGCGGGCGCCAATGGGTCAAAATCGAATCACCAGACTGCAGGATTTAGTCCATGTTTCCACTTGCCAAGGCTCCATTTGGGTACCTATTTGTGACAGCCAAATGTACTAGCAGTACTTTGTCGGGAGCAAACTCTGTAGGCAAGTAGTCGTGGTTGCGCTCCTTTCGGCGGATACGAATAACTCGGGAAAAGGCCCCCCCGGGATTGTCCCATCAGGAGGATGTTGTCCATGCAACCAAGCTGGAAGCTAACTTGATGGTTTTCTCCCTTCCATTGTTTAAGCGCGGGCGAGTGCTCCCATTCGCGAGTTCTTCGCCGGCTGCCCTATGAGACCTCAATGCAGCTGGGTGAAAGTAGATTGCACAACTACCCCATTTTGGTTGAGTCACCCTTGTGGTAAGTGAAGGGGATGACTGAACTTTAATCGTCCCCTTCACTTCCCCACACAAGGGAACTGTGCGATCTACATGTATTGCGGCATCTTCTTCCCACAGCACGTGCCGTGTCCGAATGCGGTATCAGCCCACTGGGCCACGTTTGAGCCACAACGCAGCATGGGAAAATACACGTGTTATGTCTTTTGACAATGTATATCATTGGGACAGAAAGACGTGACTCACCAAAAGTGGACAACCAATTACGAGGTAGATAATAGATATTCACCCTTCTTCATGAAGGTTCATGAAGGAAACTCAGGTGGACTGTGTAAGGTTGTGTGTTGTCCAACCTAGTGGGAACGCCATGAACTACTGATTGAGTGAAGAGAGTAGGAAGGGGGAAGGACTTGGCTGTGTTCATGAGATCCCTTCACAGTCCCTTCCCTATCCATCCCTTTCACTCGTAAGCCATCAAATGCAAAGAGATGGCGAGTGAAAGGAAGGGGATGGGTGGAGATAGCTTCATTCGCTTCTCTTAGCCTTATCACCCATCTCTCCATTCCTGCACTGACTTGTTGCGTGTTTGTCCTCGAATAGTTTTCGGTTTGTGCGTGCCGGTGATTACAGCCCGCTGCCTTTGCCAAACGAACCGACTGATATGCATATGTGTCCAAAAAAGGTGTTCCTTTTGCACTGAAAAACACGCACTCCTCCGAACCCAAACCTATCAAGATAGAGAGCTGCGCACCCCATCCAGCTGTGTGGGGTGCCACGGTCAAGAATTCCTTGCCACCAGCCACTCTTACCAGACATGGGAACATCAGGGCTCGGCCCCGATGTCCCTAATGGACCTCACCTGCCTTCATGCTTCCCCCCCCCCGCCTGAGGCGACAAATGTCTGCCGGGTCATAGCTTCCCAAACCCATAATGCCTGGTAGAAGCTGCCTCAGAGCTCACTCAAGCCAGCAACTGAAACAGAGCTCTGAGCCTGAGAAGAAATTGACATGACAGGAATGATACACGATCTTGATGAGAAATTATAGAATACTATAGAAAGCTGTGTCTTGTATGCTCAATCCGGCCGAACATGCATCAGCTGGGAGACACCTTGGTGAAATGAGTGCCTTTCCCATTGCATGAAGAATATCGATTGCATGTTGGCCGGAACATTCCCAAATCGCCTAGAAATGCTAGGCCAAGACAGCTTAGAGCCTTCTGGGTCATTGCAATGGGCCCTTAATGGATCAAATACATCTCAATGTTGACAATCTACCTACCGAAGGTAGATGCAAGCAAACGACTCGTCCACTAAACTGCATCAGCTTTGGGTTTGGAGTTGCAAGTTGTTGGTTCAATCCCAACTTGTCCGGTGCAAACCACCATCTCTCCCAACATTCTCCCGGTTCGATCACAACCAAAATGCAAACCAGGATATGTGAAGCCCTGGTTACTAACCTCGTGTGTGTCCCATATAGAGAATCCGGATCACTCCGATGGCCCTGGGGGAAAAAACCGATCCTCCAATGGCCAGGGTATATGTAGGTATGTATGTAGTGTCATGTCATGCCATGTAAGGTAATTTAATGTACTGTAATGCAACGCAATGTAATGAAATTCATCTCACAAAGCCATGTCGGAATTGTGGAAAGTATGAAGGTAACCATCTGCGTGAAAGGATCTAGGCTTTGTTCTGAGAAACCCTTCTTTTGGATTCACAGGGAACCAACAGAACCACCCATCCCTTTTTTTGGGTCCCCTATTTTGACATGCACCCATATCATGCCATGGTGCCGAGAGGTTACGTTTCAACATCATAGCCTCAACACATAGCCCCTATTTCCCGACTGAAAACAAACTGCACAGTCACTGCATACGCAATGCGTAAACAGAAGCAGATCCCCTCAAGGAGCCTTCTCACGCGACCTTCATTCTCATGTTGCTATTGGCCCCCCTCTTTTTCACCAGGGTCCCCTAAAAGGAAACAATCTCCTCTAAAAAGGACCCCTGAAATCACAAGTGGCCCACAAGGTCCAGGCATAGCAGCAGCACCAGCATCGCTGCATGCGCTGCACTTATTAATCCTGCGGCCATGCAAAAAAAAAAAACTGGAACCCCAGGTGGACTTGGACAAATAAATGACACTGGGGTATGCACAAATGATACTGTCTGGTCCATACTTGGTCAACGTTCATACATAAAATCGGTCAACGTTCATACATAAAATCATGTTGGAAATGAGTAGACACGAAAGTGCAACTAACGTCATTGAATGTCAAACAAAAGCACTTACAAACAGGACACCTACTATTGTTGATTGCCGGTGAAAGCTCAAAAGCCCTAACAGGGAAAGGGAGCTTGGGGTACCAGTGAACAAGCCACCAAAAGCAATGGGGGAGTGTTGACCTACCCTCCCCAAGGCGAACATGGAAGTTTTCAGGACCCCTTTCGAAGAGTTGGTTCCATTTACAGAGGCCTTCTGGGAGTTTCCATGCTAGTCTGAGGGAGTGCAACTGTGTTTCAAGGGAGCGCTCATCCGGGTACGGACGCAGCAATAGCGAAGCGAGTGCCCTGCATGCTTGGGCTCCTCCATACATACATATATATATATATATGTATGATGCATATCAATACATATAAATCCGTATCAATACATATCTACCTGTGTGTCTATATATGTATAACTATGGGTGTGTCTTTTTGGGCAAAATGGTCGGTGTCCCTTTTCAAACCAACCCTGACAAGGGGACTCACAACAAAAGACAGACACATATTTAACATACACCAGGCAGCATCATTTTAAATTGCCAGCTACACGTCGAACTATGGCATGCAGCTGGTGCACATCTTTGGCCATCGCCAGCCGGACTGATGTAACTAGGCGTTGCCCCCAACCCCTTTTCGGCTCAAACCTCTAGAACACAGTCGAGCTCATGCCATACCTGCAAACCCGAAGCACCTTCCGCAGGTTGCAAGCTATTCAACAGTTGATGTGTCTGCACTTGCAATGTGAAGGTATGTGTCAATGTCCTAAGACAACCAGCTTGTGCAGGACAAAGGCAGGTTCAACTGTCCTTCGGTCCAGGGGAAAGCTTTCAGGAATTCACTGTCATTTCAGCTTCTCCTTCCTTCCCGCAATCTGTTGCATTGGAGACACGCTCTTTCCACGATATCGTACTGGATCTTTCTAGCTGAGATGAGCATACTATTGCTCGCAAAACCATTAAAAGAAAGGGACAGCAACGCTTGAACTTCTGTGACATGGTCAAACCGATGTTGATCGACGGGAAAAATAACAGTTACCACATTGCACTGTCTGAGTTGGATCGCTAAAAAACAGACTTTTGTTTGCCACACAAATGGTATTCCCAAGAAGTCCCAAAAGTTAGTGAGCAATTCGCAAAGGCCTTCTCTTGCACGGGCAACAACCAACCCACGGCATATACATCCGGGATAGATATGCCTTGCGACTTACAAGGAATCGCGTCACGGCTTCCTTATGGAACACAGCATATCTCAGCTCTTGCAGCAACAGAACATGATTGGGTTCTGGAATATGGGTGAATCTTAAATAGTAAAATCACCCCCCCGCAAGACAACAACCAAAAATCCATCGCAAACAAACGCATCCCAGGCATCTCCGACCGGAAGCCCTGCCTGCATCGCTAGAGTCGCTAGAGACGCAGGCAGACACAATAAAGGCCACCACGGCGGTCAAATGAACTAGCCTTAGCGACGACTGAGGCTGTTCTTTGATAGGTCCAAACAAAACTTGGGTGTGGAAGCCGGAAATCACGACCTAGCTGTTGGACGATTCTCTTCTGCGGGGTCAAAGAATGCAAGGAACAATCCAACATCTGGGACTAGCTGGTGGAATCGCCCACCGGTGTCTCTGCTGCATGTTGACTGACTCGATGAACATTTGCTGTCGCAAAGCCCTGGTTTGAGGTCGGCTACCTGTTTGTGCATCTTGGGCTGGGCGAAGGGGTCGTTCTTCGTACTGCCGTGCATGAGTCACTCACTGAAAGGCATATGGGGGACTGTTAAGGGGACCCCCCTGAGATGGTGGATTTTCCCTCTCGGCTTCCTTTTAAACCACAAACCTCAGCGGTAGCCTCAAACAAGAAGAGCCACCCATAACAGGTTTGGCCTTTTGCTTCAACCCATGGCTTCCGCAGGACCCAAACTAAAACCAGGATCAAGTTAAAAACCCGTAAAGATTCCCCCCACGCAGTGGAACACTGCTGAAACGTGCAAACTCGATGGGGTCGCTAATGCGGACGATAGCACAAAAAACTACTACTACGAATGCTGATAAACAGAACCAACGACTGCAGGGTCTTCCGCTTTAACCACCGTGAGTGCGTGCTGAAAGCCTTGGGAAAGCTTGGCGCCAACGTGTAAGCCTTACACTGCAAGCAACGAAAGTCAGTGCGAGAAGTGTGCTTGAAACAGGTGCAACTTGCTTTTGCGCTTTGGTCCTGCCTTCGTTTTCCTTCAAATTCCAGTGTGTGTTCAATGCAATATATTGAAACCCTGTGAAATACTGGACAATCACGATCACGATTTGCAGCCTCACAAGCGGCTGTTGGCCCAATTCCCCACGCCTGCCACACAGGAGAAAGTTGGAGCCACAGGTTGCGTTTGCGTTTCGCCCAGGGTCGTTAACGCGGACGGTACCTAGTTTGTAGCATTTGTAGTCGTAGTAGTAGTAGTAGTAGCAGTAGTAGTAGTAGTAGTAGTAGTAGTAGTACTAGTAGTAGTAGTAGTAGTAGTAGTAGTAGTAGTAGTAGTAGTAGTAGTAGTAGTAGTGGTAGTAGTAGTAGCAGTAGCAGTAGTAGCAGTAGCAGTAGTAGTCATTGTAGTTGTCATCGTACTAGTCCTCGTAGCATCTGTTGTTGTTGTTGCTGCTGCTGTTGTTGTTGCTGTTATTGCTGTTATTGCTGTTATTGCAGTTGTTGATGTTGCTGCTGCTGTTGTTGTGTTGTTGCTGTTGTTGGTCATCGTGGTCATCGTGGTCATCGTGGTCATCGTGGTCATCGTGGTCATCGTGGTCATCGTGGTCATCGTGGTCATCGTGGTCATCGTGGTGGTGGTGGTGGTGGTGGTGGTGGTGGTGGTGGTGGTGGTGGTGGTGGTGGTGGTGGAATCCATCCCAGTTCTGCCGTTATATACAAGCAACCCGCGCATCCAAACCCCCCACCAAACCCCCGACCAAACCCACCCACCCGCACACCCAAAAAGAAACAACCCTCAAAGCCGCAAAGCCACAAACCCATACCCGAACCCTCAACCCCCCCCCGCCCCCGAATGGCCCAACAAACAAATTTCAACACAAGCAAAGCCGCCGTCGTCGTCCTCAAACGCGTGTGTCTTGTTTGGAGCAACCAAAAGGACATCCACCTCAAGAATGACCTTGCACAAAAGGCAGCCCAACCTCAAAATCCACTGTTTCTCAATTACTTTGGTGAGTCTAGAAAACAAGACGAGCCACCCATATCGGCTTATACGTACAACTCCCACGTGTCTTTCGACTTTGGTGAGTCCCAAAACCCCCAAAAAAGCCGCCCCCCCGCCCCCCCGCCCCCCCGCCCCGCGCCCCTCGGCCCATGTGACGCCGCGGCGCCAGGCCGTGGCGCAGCGCAGCGGCAGCACCAAGCTGTGGGCGGCCGCCAGGGCGCCCAGAGCGAAGCCGCTCTCGTGCCGGTGCCGGGACCTCGGACATGCCCAGTGGGTCGATTGGAATCGGATCCCCCGGGTGTTGGTGGGGTTGGACCAAAGAATGGTGCCTGGAAACCAAAATTCAGGTATGTAAATTGTTTATGGCCGGTTTTGCTGGGTTTCCACTGAATGGTGCCTGAAAGCAGGAAATCAGGCATACGGTAGATGGCCGCATGTCAGTTCCCCTGGTTTGGTTGGTTTCTTAGGGCATGAAAAAGGAAACCTAGCATGGTAGGGGTCAAAATAGGGTGGAGTGGTCCACTGAACATTTTGGGAGGGGTGGTCAACCTAAAACGGGTGTTCCACTGAAATTTGCCCAAGCCCCCTTTTGGTTGGTTTTGAAAGGAATCGAAAAGGAAACCTATCTGCGAAGGTCTCTAATTTTGAGAAACACCCATATGGGTGTGTACATCAACCTCTTTCTTGCGGACGTGCGGACAACTGCGCCATCTACTTTCACATTGCTTCCCTCATGTGCAGAATCATCTCTTCTCCCAAAGTGACCCCTGTGGCTCGCACAGTCCTTCTCGTTTTGTTGCAGCTATAACAAGCGTGGTATCCGTCAGCATGCAAATCCCAAAAAAATCAATCAAGGTGTAAAAAGGCTCCTTTCAAAGTACCAACTAACGCCTAACAATGGGAGGCACACACAACAACTTGGAGGTTAGAGCAATGGGATTGATCAACTTACAACAGAATCTGCCAAGTGCCTTGTTTCAGCAGTTGTATGTGTAGCTCCATTCAGTCGTGACAAGCTAGCACTAGACGACTACCTAGGCAAAAGAGGGGAACATGCGGGCTGAAGGCAAGATTGCCAGTAAAGACGTGTTCCAGCAACGTGTTGCGAATGACAAGCTCGTGTCAGCCTCAGGAATCTGATCACTCCAATCTGGGATCACTCAAATCAAACGCTTTAGGCGATCCCTTTCTCCGCCAGAAGCAAACCTTGGCCTCCAGCCCTCTACTCATGCCTCGGCTCAAAGAAAACTTCCCGACCAAAGTCCAAACACTCAGCTTGCAGTGGTTTTTCAGTCTGTGTGCCCCTATCATATGGTTGACGACGTACATATACGTGTATAGAACATATATATATATATAATATATATATACATGCATGTACAAGCATGTGTGAGTGCGTCCCGGTGCAATGACTAACAGTTCGCAAGTGGGTCTACAAGTGTGTGTGGATCAAGGAAAAGAACATTCCCCTTCACGGCGTACATGATTAAGCCACACAATCTTGATTCGAGTGCACCATGGGCCATTAAACAAGGCAAACCATAGTTGATCAGGACATCCCGAGTCAACCTGCACAGGGCTCAATTTTGGGACGACCCCAAGGCAGACTTAAGCCCTTTAGGTTCTCCTCTGGGAAACTTAAAACCGCAGGGTCTACCAAATGAAATCCTGGACCTGTGCCGGTTTCCATCAGCCCGGCTGCAGATCAGCGCTGCAGACACAAAGCAAAGGCAACCAGATGAGCTCCACATTCACCACTTCCTGCGGAAGGCATGCACTGAGGTTTCTGCAAGTTCAAGACTTCAAAAAAAGCTGAAAGCAAAAGGGGATCCCCAAGAAAAGGACCTTCATGGCGAGCTCGCCAATATATAGCTGACAGGATCAGCATTAACAATATGGTCTTCGTTCAACCAAAACAGCAGTAAAAAGGAACTGCAGCCCTTAACGAGCTTCATCGTCCATTTTCAAAGGCACGTTGCATCATGGCATATCGACAAATAAGCTCCAGTGTACCCCCTCCCAACTATCAAATCAACGTTGTTCCAAATGGGGGGGGTATGTCCAAATCCTAAGCTGCAATCCGTAGTGTGGGCATAAGGATCAGGGATGAATTTGAAGAACCCAACTAATGTTCGTGTGAAAAAATACACCTGTTCTGATGTCCTTTCGAGATCAATTCTAGAGACATATGGCCAATTTACCAGCCAGTTGGGAAACCTCACGCTTTAAACCCTTTTAATTTTCTGGGTTCCCAAAACCAAAATACAAGTTGGAAACACCTTTTAGCTCCCATGGGTGCCAACCAAGCCCCCCCCCTCCCCTTTGGTGTCCCAAGCAAACCAAAAATGATGTCCTTTATTTGGCACCGATCCTCCCCAGAAGAAGGCGTTGGAAAAACTCGTCTGCCGCCACCTTGAGCCATCTAAACCCACCCTAAAGCAACCCGACCCCTCATCTAAACCCCCCCTGAAACCACCCTAAACCCACCCAAAACCCAACCCCCACCCAAAACCCAAACCCCCCCAACCCCCCCCCCCACCCCCAACCCACCCTAAACCCACCCTGAACGACCTCTTGCGTCGCATCGCCCCGCGCGCTCGGAGCGCCTGCAGCTCGCAGCTGAGCAGCGCGGCTGCTGCCAGGCAGGCGCCGCCCACCAGGCCCAGCACGCCGGGCTCCTGAAAAAAGAATCCAAGACCCGAGTTCCCTCGCTAGGTCCTCCAGTAGAGAGGTTAGAACAAGGGTACCCGATTTTTTCTGTAGTCTATTTTAGTAGGGGAACCCGCGCCCAAAAAAAGGGGTAAAAGGGCACTACTGGGGGACTTAGCTCGTTGTTCGGTGGCTTGGAGAGCCTGGTTTGGTCAACCGCTTCAACCCTACCCTGTGCCCTCCAAGATACCAATTGACAACCCTTGGAAGGTGCTGGACTCGACTTCCCAAGGGGTTTCGCGCGGGTTTCTCTGGTTTGGGGTACTATGGTCTAGGGTGGGGCACTTCTCGCTTTGGTTTCAGCGCTTTAGGCTTAGCAATGGTGTAGTGATAGATTGGGGCGGGTTCAGAGTTGGTTTGGGATTGGTTTAGGATGTGCCCTGGTGTGAGCCGTTTTGGGCACCAATTCACAACTCTTGGAGGAGGGCCTCTTCTGCCCAAACCCGGGCTGTCCAAAAAAACGCAAAAAGAAACAGTGGTTGGGGGTGGCAGTTCTCCGGTCGTTGCACAATGGAACCCAGCATAGGTGACCTTTTGGAAAAATATATGGCTTTTTTTTCTGGGGCATAAAACCAATTTAAACCAGTGCCACCTATTTGAACCCAATAGTAGGGCGTGGTTTTCCTTTTGGTTTTGGGAAGAAAGAAAAAAAGGGGGTACACACACCAAAGGAGCCACACCTAGTCTTGCAACATGGAATCAGGGAACTGGTCTCTTTTAAAGGAACATGGTCCAAACCAGGACCTAATTTTGGCTCCATGGATGGGGCTTCTAGCCAGAAAAGTCACAATGCAAATGCCTAAACGTCAGAAGGACCCAGCAAAAGATTCTCACCTTGGGTGTTATGAACCAATGCGGTCCTCTTGGGCCCTTTTGGTTACAACAAGCCATGCTGAAAGGTTGCATCCAAAAATCAGCTGGTGCGTGAGTGACTCGCATGCCTCCTCTAAGGGACCCTTGAGAATCCAACGCTTGCACACAAACGCGGGTGTCTAAAAACCGGAGTCGGTCCATTTCCCAAAATGAGAACTGTTTCGGCTTGGCAGGCTTGTCACCCTATTTACCGACCAGAGGCGGCTTTTTGTCGCACTCCGGTAGTCTGGGGCGCACAGTGGCAGTGGTGCCGGGCATGTAATTGGACGTCATGAGCGAGGTGGCCAACCATGAGAACAGGGGTTGCTTTGGCTGCACCTATGTACCAACATGGGAAATTGGCTGTGTGTTGGCTGGCCAATTGGCCACCCATGGTCAGTGGGTCTCACCGAAGCAACTTGGCAACAGGTAATCAATTCAATTGAGCTCAGTAGTAGCCCCGGAAGGACAGGGGACGACAGGGGGGTCTTAGCCCCTCGTTTGCCCCCAAACTATAGCAATGGGCAACCAGTAATGTTGTCAGTTGCTCACTTGCACAAACGAGACTCCAGAAAATACCAGCATGACATTCTACCAAGCGGCCGTTTGTTGGACCTTTGGGGTCTGTTTTCGGGTATGCGCTTGTCTCAACATCTTGGTTCCCCCAAAAAAGCATCAGCAGGTCTTCATTTGGCGGCACCCCCCAACCACTGATTTTATGATTTTTTTAGCCAGCCAGAGACTGGACATCTTGAAATATGTATTTTTCAAAAAATAATCGATTTGGTTATCCTCAAACCTATCCAAAAATCATCCTACAATCATCCACTGCAAAAAACATCATCGAAAAATCATCCTCTCCCTCCTCCTTCATCCCTCCTCCACATCGCTTCTATTCTCTGCGTTTCCATTTTCCTTTCCTTCCCGTTCCTTCCCGTTCCTTACCCTTTTCCATTTCCCTCTTCTTGTTTCCATGTTCCATCTCCTTTCTCGTTTTTCTCTTCCTTGTCCTCTCCAATTCTCTTTGCCCTGCCCTGTTCCTTCTTTCCCTTTTCACTCTTCCTCTTCCTGAGACTGACAGGAAAAGCAAAAAGTTGCAAAACCCTCCTGTTTTTTTTCAAAAAAATCATCGAAAAATCTTCGAAAAATAATCCCCAACCCACATTTTCTGGACCAACCCCCCTTCACAGTGGTCAGGAAAGGAAAAAGTTGCAAAACCCTCCTGTTTTTTTTTCAAAAAATCATCGAACAAATCATCGAAACATCTTCGAAAAATCATCGAAAAATCTTCGAAAAATAATCCCCAACCCACATTTTCTGGACCAACCCCCCTTCACAGTGGTCAGGAAAGCAAAAAGTTGCAAAACCTTCCTGTTGTTTTTTCAAAAAATCATCGAACAAATCATCGAAACATCTTCGAAAAATCATCGAAAAATCTTCGAAACATAATCCCCAACCCACATTTTCTGGACCAACCCTCAGGAAAGGAAACAGTTGCAAAACCTTCCTGTTTTTTTTCAAAAAATCATCGAAAAATATCTTCGAAAATCATCGAAAAATCTTCGAAAAATAATCCCAAACCCACATTTTCTGGACCAACCCCCCTTCACAGTGGTCAGGAAAGCAAAAAGTTGCAAAACCTTCCTGTTTTTTTTCAAAAAATCATCGAAACAAACATCGAAACATCTTCGAAAAATCATCGAAACATCTTCGACAAATCATCCTGACCGGAATCCATCTTCAAAAAATCATCCAACAAATTATCCTGCCTGACATCAACCTTCCAAGAATCATCCTCCCTATTTTCCTCCCCTGCCTGGAACACGATTTGAAACGAGCTTCAACACAGCCAGACATTTCTTGCGCAAAATGGCTCCAACTAAATTGTTTCATGGCTGAAGCTGAAGGAAACCCACCAAAGCAAGCCAAGCAAAGCCAAGCCCTGCAAATCAAAGCAAAGCAAAGCAAGCGAGCGAAGCAAAGCAAAGCAAAGCAAAGCAAAGCAAAACAAGTGAGCGAGCGAGCGAGCAGGCAGGCAGGCAGGCTTGAGGAAAATGAAAAACGATGAGGATAAATAAAAAAAATGATAATCTGGAGGATAATGACAAACGATGAGGATAAAAAAGGATAGTGTTGAGGATCATGAAATCGATGATTTTTTTGAAAAAATAAATATTTCAAGACACCTCAGTGTGTGGCTGCAAAAATGTCATAACACTGATTTTTGGCCAGTGCCAAAAAAATGTGTTATTTTTCGACCTGGCTAACAACAAAAAAAAAGTGCCGTTCTTAAAGGGCGTTTCGGTGGGTGTCCCTTCATTTCACCCCAAAACCTCCGACTCCCAAAAATTTGTCCGCCCGACCGCACTCCTCGCGGCTCAGCTCCAGGCCGACCCAGAAACTCGCCAGGGCGAGGCCCCCGGTGATGGTCAGGCAGCGCCGGGCCCGGAGCTGGGCGCGCCAATAGCTCTGCTCCTCCTCCTTCGGAAGCCTGCGAGACGGGTCACCGAGGCCCGACAGAGCTGTGGCGCACAGCATGCACCATGGCATGGCCAGTGGAACGCGTGGGTAGAGGTCAAAAAAATCAACCACCCACTTATCATTCCCTATTAAAATTTGTAGACAACATATGGGTATGGGTCAAATTTCAACCTCCCGGAATCGGACAGCAGGATTTAGTCTTTGGTTCCATTTCCCAGACAAACCCACTCTTGATACCTATAACTTTGACCCGCAGCCACAGGGCGCTACCTACATCTTTGGGATTGCTCCGTACGTCTTTGAGGATTAGAGTGATTAGAGGACCCCCAAATCGTTGTCCTTGTGGTTCCCTTTACCAACACAAAAGGGGGACCCTCGCAAAAAACAACACAGACCCAAAAAAATCGGGATAATCTAGGGTGTTCGTAAATATACCAAATATGGTCTTTATACTCCTCTTTTGGGGAACAGCGCAGGCTTCAGGTTGCACATGTCCTTGTGGTTTCCCATGCCTAATGGCTCTCTGCAGGAAAACAACAATGTTCTAGCTCGGTTCCATGATTAGCGTATCCTAAAATGTGGCTTTGTTTCTGAAGGAGACCCCAGAATAGTCAAGTTGGAACAAATTCGGCAAGATTCAGACCCAGAAAGTGATGAAATAGGCCCTGACGTTGAAGTTGCCTGCTTTCCGGAAATAGCTGCTGGGGGGTGCTGGGACTTTGGTGCACCCGGGGAAGGCACTTTGATGCAGCGAGTGAGTCCCGAGGTTGAGAAAGATCCAGTGAGATAGTCGTCACTTTAATATGGGGACTCGTCGAAATGTAGAATGAGTCAAAAGAAGGCAAACTGAGCTCTGACTTTGTGGATCCAGTTGTCCAAAATCTGAGATGCTTAATGAAAGTGGTGCGAATCTACGGTCGATTCCGTAAGGTCATGCATAAGCTCCATGCGGCCGCCATGTCCGCATGTCGATGCTCAAAATGCAGGAATTCCGAATTCATTCTAGGCAAATTCACAAGTGCTCAGAGCAGCGCCCTTTTGGCGGAACCTGTCTCACATCATGAACAGCAAATATGTATTTTTCCGGGGAACACCGGCAATCGACCAAAGGTGGGGCGAAACTCGACAGCGGCGATTGGAAACGACGATCGCCCCTGCCTTTGGTCGAGCCTTCGGAGCAGCTTGGCAAGCATGTCATCCACAAGGCACACACTCTGCCCGGGTCTCAACGCGTGAGGGTCTCTCGCTTGAGATGTGTGAGGGTCCCATTTGGCAGCAGAGTTGAGTGCTGAGCTTGGTTCATGTTTGACCACTGCATGGTATAGATGCCGCGCATACCGATCGGTCCGCACCTATGCTGAAAGACGAGGCCGGCGGAAATCAGAATGGTCAAACCTGGCAGTCTCAGCCGACCTGGGAGGATGCTTGTGATCCATAGATTAATAAGGCAACGTTTGAAACAAAAGCTCTCCAGGACAAATGGGGAAGATTCAGCCAGAGTATCGTGGTCATGCAACACCTGCAAGGCCAAGTCACCTTCCAACCCTGGACACGGAAGGAAAGAGTCCTGGGGTTGGCGGGCTGGCCGAAGCTCTCTCTCTAGACGGCTCATGTATGTGGCTGCTTGAGAGGGCATCGCGTAAACGCGGGGAATGTGGGAGGATCTTCCAGCAAATGATGCGCAGAATGGTTTTCTTACGTCACCCGTCAACACAGGCGGCTTCTCGGGCTATCTAGCTGTTGCGCCTCTGAGTCGCCAACAGATTCTCATCAGTTGTTCAGCATTCAGCACCTGGGCGCCTTTATCCAATTATGAGGCAACCAAAAAGGCACGCACCGAGGGCAAGCCCGAGAAAAATATCTGCGGCTGCGATTCTTTTTGGAAAGTCACTCAAAAGATCTAAAAAGAAACACCCGCAAGGACGTGAAATTAAGGCTGCAGTAGCAGAATTGTGCAAAAGCAAACAGTATTGCAATTTCCACTGCGTGAATCCGGACCAATGCAATCCGCACGAAAACAGATGGCGTTTCCAACAACGCTGGCGGGTCTAGCACTGCATGGTCGAAACCCCACTCATAGGACAACAAGCTCAAGCGAACACCTGGAGCCGTCATGAAGTCGGCAGATTGAAGTGTCAGCCTTAGGCTCCTTGTGACGGGCTTGAACAGCAATTCTTTAAATCCACCCAAAACAAACACACACGCACACCGCGCAGTTCTATGCGAAATAATTAGGCGGTAAGCCGCCAAATCCCTGGAAGAAGTGGAACCTGAGGATGTGAGTCCGGGTCGCCTCGTCCAGTCCAGGAAACGAGCGGCACCTGAGTTCCCGAGCTTGCGACTGGCGAGGATTGCAGTGAGAGAAAGCTGTTCCCCAGTGTGACCCGAAGGAAATAGTGGAACCCTTTCCAGATTGACCATTTGGGATTCAGGACAAGAAGGGGAGGGGCTCTGATATGAGCCTCCAAGCCGCCGTTGATATCGATTGGGGCCAGTCAAAGCCAGGAGAGTCAGCCAAACGGTCGCTTTCCTTAAAGGGACTCTGGTGCCGTAATGGTTGACAACTCCCCAATAAGTATCAGAACCTGCCCTGTGAAAAGGCCTTTTGCTCCGCATGGGGGGGGGGCCAACGGCAAGGGGTTCATTCCCTTAAAAATCATCAACAAAACAAGGTAGCCTGGATGGCCATCGGACAAATGAGCTAGGCGCCTCCTTTGCAAGGGGAATCCCAGTATGGATGATGAACAGTGCATGGCCTGCCAACATGATCAGCTGCAAAACATCGCTTCAGCATGTTTCAGCGAGTTGGATTCTGGTCTATAGAGGGCACGTACAAAGTCGCAGAACGCGCCCCATGCAAACTGATGAGAGATATCATGTAAAACAAATATGCTAAGGATGTGTAGATAGATGCTTGTGTCTGTTGCTTCTGTTCGGATCAAGCCTCACTTAGTAGAAGATATTTCTCTGACCCAGAACGTATTACAACGAACCAGGTACTCGGAGCCGCTCTTGCAAAATGATGCGGTAAGAAGTGTGTAAAAGAAACCCTTCATTCACAGCACTTGGAATCTGGGCAGGTCAACACCACCACCGGGCCTCAGCGTGTTAGCATCTTGGTATGTGCTTTCAATCCACCCTGCTCCCCAGTCCCAGAACAGTCACAATCGTCCCAAACACAACCATGGCTCCAATGTCAACTTCAGATAACCAAGGACCGCAATACCCAGAATTGCATTCCTCGGACTTCCGGTCCGGATTTCGGATCTCATGGTGACATGGAAAAGGGGGGCCCTTGTAGAGGAAAAGGCTCCGTCCCAAGGCTCAACTACCTCGCTCACTGATCAATGAGGCAGGTCCATCGGAAAGGAATCCACAAACATGGGACTAGAAAAACCGATGGCACATTCATGATCAAAACCACGCTGAAACCAGCGGAACCATCATCTGTATTCCAAACTGACTTAAGGTCACCTGGTCTTGAATAACCTCCTTAAGAACCTCGCGTGGTTTTCTTTTGGAAGCCGTCAGCCTTTGAACTATTCTTACAAACCAACCCCTTTGTCCGGGCTCCAAATCTCAGGCTAGCTAGGCTCCAGCACCCTGTGGAGCCCCTGCGACTCCTCGCGCGGCATCTGGCCTTTTAGTTGTGGGGAAACCAGAAATGAAAGGTTGTCGATTCGCTTTGGGCAAGGGAGTAATTGCAGGGACATGAATCGTAGCTTCCTCTGAGTTAACCCATTGGCTAATGGACATCAATCCCCCAACTGGCCAGGCCCTATTTAAGACTCATACCTCAGTTGTTCGACCTCTAGTAGTAGACTTCCCGGTATTTTCCGGGAAACTCCTGATGTTCAGATCTGTCGAGGGAGAACCCTCGCCAAGCCGTGGACGCCTGACAGGAGCACCCGAATTCTACGTGGTTCTTGCAGGAAGGTGCTGGTGAGTGCGCGTGTTTTGAGGCTTGGTACCCTGTTCACCTTTGAACTCATACCAAAAGGAGTGCTCCCTTCACCCCCCGTGGCATCAAGTCCCCGAATCCCCCGGCATGGGATTATTCAAAGTGCAAGCGATCCGAGATGTGCAGCTTGCACACGGTTGAGATCCCAAGCGCGCCGAAGGTGTGGCGTAGCTATCCATTTCACAGGCTGTGTGTTGGTGTCACTGAGCTTGATTTCGCCCGCTCATCAACTTGTCAGAATGCCAGCTGGAGAGAGAGTCACTGCAATCTTGCCACCAAACGGACCAATGCTTTGAAAGTGATGCCGAGTTCAAGTCCATCCAAAGACCTCACGAGCCACCCGCCCTCCAAACCCCCCCCCCCGGCAAGGCGGCGCGCGGGGAGCGGCTTTTCACCGCGAAGGCGGGCGGGGAGCGGGCGGCGAGCGCTCAGCCTCGCCGAAGGGGAGCTCGCAGCTGAACCAAACCGGATCTCTTTGGGGCAACTTGGCAGGTGCGCCAGAAACCGGATCTCTTCGAGGCAACTGGTGCGCCAAACCCATGTGAGCCAACGACAAACTCTCCGTGCACGATGTCCATCTCAGATGTGTGTCCAAAATTTGCCCGCACAGGATGGCTTGATTCCCCTCCGATGCGAAAAGCGGTGTTCTTTTGTACCGCAGGGTGCCGGGGTTGTCTGGCAAATCCAAGTGTGGTCATACATGATCATATATGTCATGTGTTTGAAGGCGAGATCGAGGAAATATGCGGCTCGTGGACAGGAAGGGAAGCATAGGTAAGCCTTGAATTGTACACGATGGAACTCGGAAAACATATGCATACACACTCTACATGGAGGAAAATGGTCCTTGCCCTAGCCGACTTCGAATCAAGGCACTGTGTTTACCTGTTGTAACCCTTGCTCGTGAGCGCAGGTGCTGAACTCCATGTTGATGATCATTTCTGACATAGAGTTCCGCAGGAATATGAAAAACTCAGGCCATTGTGAATGGGATTTTGATAAACATAGGTTTTCCTGTAGCTCGATTCTTGGAAAGAGTCAATAGCTGGACAGTTAGTTCAAGACTATTGAAAGTTAGCTCAATCGCTGGTTTTTTCCTTGCTGAGCCTGGTCAAACACACCTGACAAGCTGCGCTTGTGCCAAGTGCTTCCAATAACTTTCCAGTAAGCAAACCCCCAAAACACCCCTCATATGTGTTATCCGAGGATCGTGTTCCAACTGATTCTGTTTGCATGTCAGCGACTTTCCAGAATTACATTCTAAAGCATGTAGCCTGTCACTGTCTCTCAACTGAGCCACGAAAAGCTTGCCTTGAGATATCTTGCAACACAAGCATCAAGTACAAATTGGACGCACACACACACACACACACTCACCTAGAGAATAATGCCCCGCTCGAATATGGCTACCAGTCTGATAAACTCTTCCGCAGAAAGCTGAGAAAGACCAGCAAAGGGACCCTTCATGGCAGTAGCGCAGGCTGACCGCAGGCGGGATCCTTGTGCTAGATGAAGGTTTCGGAGGTATTGCCAGGCCACAAAAAAAGTGTTGTCCTTCTGTGGGGCAGTGTTTCCGTGAAGCCAGCTCGACGTATATTGATCCCAGAAATGCCGGCAGAGACTATGTTGACTGAAAGTAGAAAAATACGTGCCTGCGCATTGAGCCCTTTCTTGTTTGTGCCTTTCAAGGCACGATGCAAACCCTCCACTCCCAAAAAGCTTTCGCAAGCTTTTGAGAGCTACGAACATCTGCCTAAATCTGGGTGCCAACGATGGCAGGTCGTTGCAAATGTTCGCACATCGATTGTTAGGTTCTGACACCGGAGCGGGGGGTGCTCCTCCATTGAGTTGCCGAATCCCGTTCAATTGTCATTGAGAGAGCGAAACCACCAAGAGGCGTAAGTGTCGCTCGTACCTTATGTCTACACACGCCTCTCATATTCCTCAGCATTGCACGTTGGCTGAGGCCGCAAGTGCGCGAGGTCTTGCGAAGATTTCATGCCACCCATGTGGGGATTGGCCCTCACCATCCAAAAACCGTCAAATCTTCGATTGAGGGCTTCGTTGCTGACTGTGTCAATAGAATTCCTCAGTTGAGCAGCATGCACACCTCAAGGTGATATTGCTTTCCGCAAAAGCAGACAGGGCGTCGGCTGTTGCGGGGGTAGGGGCAAAATGTGAATTCGACCCTTTGGCAGACCCTTTTTCGACGCAGAACCCGCACAAAACTTCGAAACATTGGAAAGAGAGCCGCGCCTTTCAAAGGGACCTCCGCCAAGAAAGGCACCTCCAAAATGCCGCAAATGCCTAAGCAGGGCTCCGCGGTCGCATGGCTCCGATTCGTTGGAGCAGGGCTCCCTATATTTCCCTTCAAACATCACCCCCCAAAAGAAACTCCCTTTGCATTGGAGCAGAAGGTGATGCTTACTTAAAGCTAGCCTAGCCGACATGTACCACTCAAGAGTTGCTAAGGTATTAAGACTAGCAATCCTAAATGAACGTCTGAAATGTCTAGAAAGACATTATGGACGAGATTATGGGAATACGCTTGCGCTGGGGGCGGGATAGGGGGAAATTGAGCCCTAGGTAAGGATTTGTTCTTGCGATTCAGTGTAGCCCCCCCCCCCCCCCCCAAATCCCTGATTAAATCTGGCATCGTGGGAAGATCAGCCCCTAAAAAAGCTAAGCTTAGAGATCTCCCGCTAGCACAGCTTTTGGGAAAAACGGAACTAGACGAAATGCCTGGAATCACACTAAGCGAACGAGCGCAGCTCCGTTGTGCTCAACAGTATCCTGGTATTCGTGTACAGGAGGGGGTGTACAGGGGGGGGTGCAAAACAAAGAGCCGCATGTCAATCCACATGACATGGCCGACTGAATGTCTCAGCCCAGTGACCCTGGACAGAAGCTGTTTGGAACACAAGCTGAGACCTTTTGCGGGATCCTTAGTGGCAAACCCGAAGAAAAGGCTTAAAACGGGTACCACTGAGCTGGAATAAAGTATGGCGACCCTTGCACAATATGCATGCGCATAAGATGTGAAGGCCAGAAAAGGGAGCAGCGTGCCATCCGCTTTTGCCCATGATTCAATCCCAAAACAACTGTTCTGTTCGACGGAACGATGGCCTTCTGGCTTCATGGACATGGACTCATGGTTCGCATGGCCAAAAGGTGCAATTATATCTTCTGCCTTGGTTTTTAACAGACACAACCGGTTGCAAGCCACCGATATGCGGGGTCCCGGTCCTCAAGAAAAAGAACCACACCCAAATGGCCATGGTTTGCATAACCTATGGCGAGCCATTTTGGGGTGGATGAACATCCATTTGCCACCTATGTTGATGTTCACCAGGGGTTTCCTGGGTTTTGACCCACCAGCCAACTGGAGCTGCCCCCTCCGCACCATCTCCGCCACGGCACGCTGCAGCAATCTCTGCCACATGCGGAAGAGCAGCAGCGTCTGAGTGGCCACCACCAGCCACCACAGCTGAATCGCCACTGGCCAGCCTCGCGACTGCGAGGCTCGTGCCGGCCTTTTAGCCATGTCGGTTGAACACGGAAGCGAGTCGATTTTTTCACAATGGCTTGGGGATTCAACCGATGTTCAAATCGATTCGTTCACAATGGCTTGGAGATTCAAGGCTAGATGCTCAAAGTCAAAAGTCTATCCCTTGAGATCCACATTTTCAAAATGGGTTGGGGTATGTGTTCAAAGGAACCCCAGAGAGCAATGGAAGCCACGTACTTGAGCCTACGACCTTCCGCCGACGTGGCCGCGCTGCCATTGTGCCATAGCCCCTTTTTCGTAGATCGAGAAGGCCTGACCTTCCCTTGGGAAATCCAGTCTTCGAGGTGGGCCAAGCTTTGAAGCTTTGGAGATCAAAGCCTTCGCCTTGACTATGTGAAATCTGGGCATCTGAGAGTAAGTCTTGGCAGAGATCAAGTCTTATCAGCAATACCAGGAATCTGAGATCAAGTCTTGGCAATACTTATTTTGAAAATCTGGCAATACTAAATTGATAAATTGGCGATGTTAAATGCACCCGACTGAATTTCGGGAAAGCCCTACAGGCTCTAAATGAAGCGCAATGCGCAGGCGAGTCCCCTTGCATTCTTCCAGGAAGCTCCCTTCGCCCATTTCGGGGTATGCAACAGAAAGGGAAACCAAAAGGATACCCCAAAATGGCGGCCCTATTTTGACTCCCACCCAAAAGGGCGCAACCGTTTTGGGAGAGCAACGCGGTGGGCTTTTTCCCGATGGCCTGCCGCTAGCGCCGCAACCTTGCAGAGAGGAACTGGTCTTTGGGGGGAGCAAAATGCTAGCCTTGGATCGAAGCAGAACTCGTGGCTGATGTTTTTGGGCGGATGCTCCGCCCTTTTCGTGGGGATGCGTCATGTTTGGAGGGGAACACGCCTATCAATGGAACCGGTCCTGTGCACATGTTTTCTATTTAGAGGACACAAATCAGGCGCTCTATTGAGGTGGCATGTGAAAATGGACATGAACATGTAAACCCGCACCCCCACAGTTTTTTTGTTCACATTCAAAATCCGTGCTGGACGTTGATCGTTTTTTTTGAATCAAGGACAATGACGCCGCAACGAAATCCAGGGGTCACCCTTCCCTGCTTCCACGGCCACGCTAGTTGCAGCCTCACAGGTACGCCGTTTGGCGGTGCTAAAGGGAAACCAAGAGGGAAACCACCCGTTTTGGCGGGGTCCCTAAAAGGGACACCCGCGTCTTGATTGAGGATCTCGTGGTGGTCAATCAGAAACTCATGTGGATTTATGTGCGAGTATTTGAGAGGTATTCCCATCCCCCCGAAAGTGGTATGTCAGCAGGCAAGACTAAGCTGCACCAGGGATAAAACAAACGTATTCCCAATTCTCAGGTTTGTGTCAAAATCAGGGCACTCTAAGTTTTCCCCAAAAGGATCCCCTGCCATCCAGCATGGGACCCAGTCAGGAGATTATTATTTTTCCTTGAAAAAGAAGCTTGAGGTGCGCTCTATGCTGGTAGCCGCAAACGCAGGGGGAACAACTCAAGAAGCCCCTCTCAAATAATGTGCCCGCAAAAACATCCAGAACACAAACACCTCACACACACACACAAGGTAGCCTTGAGCAAAACACCGAAGCCCAATTTCCCTCCGCTTCGCGCGAGACGCCGGCAGCAGCATGGGCAGCATCTCCATCTGGAGCAACGGCCAGGGCACGTGAAAGGTCGCCATAAAGCCTCGGATATGCCGAGAACCCCGGGCGTTGACTGGGTGTGTTGTGATCTTTTGGGTTTTCCTGTTAAAACACCCGAACAAAAAGAGGGTATACCCTCAAAAGACACTCTCATTTCTCCAAAGGGACACCTAATAAATCATCTCCATGAGTTTCTGGCTGGATATGTTTGTAGGGTATTTGGCGAAATTTCTGGCAAATCTCCTGAACATGATTTTCTTAGAATCCAACACACCCAGTTGCAATGACCCTGATTCACAAGAGGGGAATCGTTTTGGGATTGACCTTCACAGAACCCACCAAACAAACGGCACACCAGGCGCACTGCACAACTGGCCATGAAATCTCACTGGTCCAGAGAAAAAAAAGGAAAACAAACTTCCAAATGGGCCCTGTGGGTATGTTGGAAGGTGCAGTCATGAAAGCTAGGAGGGTGTTGGAAGGCGCCCGCTTCCATTCTTCGAAAGAACTACACGCTGACCGCAATCGTTAGGCATGCATTACGCAAGGATTCCTATGACCGGCGTCTGATCATTGTGCCGCCACATGATGTTCCGCCAGCGTTCAGAATAAGCAATGACGTGGCCTTCCATTGGCCTTCCATGGACACCTGGACAGTCCGACCTAGGGCTTTCACACGGTCAGCGCACGCGTACATTAGGTAAACTCCGCCGAAACTGCATCGGGGAGCGCCTGAAGTCCCGACGCTCCTTTTAACAATGCACCTCCCACTTCTTTGTATGGTATGAAGTCATGCCCTTGTAAAACACTTTCTTAGCAACCCATACCAGCAAAGAAGCGTTGGCAGAACTGAGTGCAAAATGCATTCAAACCAAGCGATGGGAGACATAGTTATCACACGCACTGAGCCACTTTTCACATCTCTTCGCGGAGTTTCTCCTACGGACTCACGCGCGTCGTCCAACCAAACAGCCACAACGGAATCTCATTTGACTTCACTTACCATAGGTCAAAAACAGCCCAAAAACGCAGCCCGGCACCGGGGCCCCGTTTACGGCAACCTGAAACAATGTGTTCTGAGGCCAAGCCGCGCATCTTTGTCATGAGCAGGGCGGCGCCCAGCCCCGCCACCTGAAGCTTCACCCATCTTAGGCTGCGGGGTTTCTAGGTCCCATGGTTTGAGAAACACGCCAGACGGGTACCTCCTTCAACCTCGGCCCCTTTGCTTTCTCATGCGCCAAGCCAAAACAATGAACGCATCTAACTACACTCTTGGCGCGCGCAACGACAGCCAAAGTGGTGTAGGCCAACGCGATGCCGTGCTGTCTCGCTTCTTGCGGGCAGCATTCTCGTTGCAGAGAATGCTTGGTGGGTCACGCTACTCCCTTTGGTTCTCCTCCGAGCAAAGGGCGCCGCTCAACATGCCGGCGCGCGCGAAGGCATCGTAGTTTCGGGTAGCCAGTGTGGATGAAGAAAAGCGACGCATCTTGGCTGCCCCGGCCAGATGCAGGCGCAGAGTTGCTCGGCGCAGGCGCGCGCAGAAGCGGGACGCTTGGTGACCAATACCTGGTGGCTTGGATTGGCGGCCTGTGGATTTGAACCTCTGCGTCTTGTAGAGGTCACACGGGACACTGACTTCCAAGCCAGCAATCCAAACCAAAGAAGCTTTCAAAAAAGACCGGCGCCTTTCACCTCCAATTTAGGAAAGAAGTAGCGAGCGCCCTGCAGGAGTCCCAAACAGTTGGCGCCTCACTGACGTTGCCTCTACTTGTGATTTGATCAGTCAACCGCGTGGTTTCATTGGCGTCGGTGTCTGTGGCTCCGTTTAGAAGGGGTCCTGATATACTTTCTGTCTTTCGTATCAAGTAGGACCTGAGCATGCTGATGCACATGGTGCGCCCCACGCTGCTTGTGTTATAGCTGCCTTACCTGCAACAAGTTTACATGCCACAGCCACAAAACAAGAAGGACTGTGCGAACCACAAAGGCGCCTTTGGAAGATGATATGATTCCTTCTGCACATGCGATTGTGAAGTAGATGGCGCAGCTATCAGCATGTCTGCAAGGAAGGCGTGCTGAAATCTGCCATTTGCACAAGGTCCACTGAAAGCGCACGATCAAAAGGCCGCCAGAAGGGAGAAACACACCAGCAACGAAGAAGCTTACTAGCCGATTCCTTCGCCTGGTTTCCTCGGTTTCCTCTTGTATTGGCCGCTGCTTTGCCAAGTTTGGAGCTGGGTGGTCCGCGCGTCCCCAAATGTAGCCAACTAAACTGGGGCGTCACTTGGGAGGGATCCAGACATGAAAATTGTTGCTCGTTTGGCTTCCCTTGAAGCCAACCTAAAAAGGGTGCAGCACATTGAGATGCGAGATCCTCAAGGCCCTGCATGCCATCCCAGAAAAACAAACTCACGAAAAACCCACTGCCACGCAGGAGGAACAACAGAGTGCGCTCCTCTGGATGACTTGTGCTGAAGGAACAAGCAATAATCAGAAACTTCCAGGCCAAAGCTGGCAAGGTGAGCAGTCTTAAGGAGCAAGGAGTTGGGGATGTTTAACGGTCAGGACCAGCCTCCAATCGAAGATGAAATCGCCACCCCCAAATCGTCACCCAGTGTGTGTGCGCTAAGGCTAGTGGTTTGCCACAAGTAGAAATCATCTGATTTTCCAAGGCAGCATGATGTACTACAGAGCAAACTTTTTCACGGAGTCAGGCAAAGTGGCGGCCCCAAAATGGGTTCGGCCGAAGTTCGATCATTTCATCATTTCGCCTTCCCGGCGAAATGAGAAAGGCGCAAAGTCCAGAGTCAAGGCAGGGTGTCGATGGGTTCGGCTTGTCTCGAAAGACGCCCCTCCCAAAAATAGTTTCGAGTTTCCTCTTGGTGTCCCTCGAACAAACCGAGTCCCGAGGGTACTCCGTGCACGTCCTCACAATCAGCCGGACACCTCTTGAAAATGCAGTGCGATTTGCCATTGCCCAGCCCTCTCGCAGCAGTTGATCACCGACTTGTAGCAAGCGACATCGGCTGCCATCTGAGCCTGACCAGGTCAAATTTACAGCACCTTGCGCTGCTCCCTAGCCAAAATTGGATTCAGCTGCATAACGTCTCTACTCTTCACCCATCACTATCTTCAGAAAGCACAGAATCATTCTCTCGGGGGTTTGGCCTGTGACACCTGTCTCTCCGCATCAAACACATCAGCTCGCCAAAACGCCGAAGCTGCACATTAAACATGGCAAATTATCCTCGAAGGGAATTTCCTATATGAATGGGACAACAATAGCAATCAGAGAATTGCAAGGGTCACTCTCTGCCTCTATCTCTTCGTGGAAAAGATGTGAAGCCTCATCAATCACACAAATTGCGACCAGGCAAATTGGTCAATGCTTGCACTGCTGCAGCTCATACCAAGAGCCAAGCAGGAACATCTTCAACAAGCCAAGCAACCTCGCTCATGTCACGAAAGAGGTGAAGAGCAAGTTGCCAGTGTCGCTTGCAGGAGCTGATGGCAGCACTGTAAGTGATGACATTTGGTGTAACCATCGATCTGTGCATTTGCTGGCACAAATGCAAGGCCAAGGTCCAATTGCTCGCACTCTCGCAGGAGCTGATGGTGGAGTTGAAGCTAACGACAGTCGGAGCGATGCTTGCTCGCGACATCACCTAACTCGATGGGTACAGGGATCGGACTAAGCCCGGTTTCATCGATAGAGGGTATCCCGTTTGAGAGGCACGCTTTTCAGGCGAAGGAGGAATCCACATAGATTAATGCACCAACCTCATGGCCGGAGCTGTCTGGTTCGCGTTGCCCTCTCAAAATGTTTCAAGATGCAAACGGAGAAGGCCCTTTCTTAGGCCGGACAAAGGGCAGTCAAGAAAATCACCCATTTCAGGGTCCCCTAATTTTGACTCACACACACGCGCACACACACACACACACGCACACATCTCACAAAACACGACAAAGGAAGTCTGCCTGGAACAGGTGCCAGGACCGCGACCACTGCCTGCCCTTCTCGCAGGAGCTAATGGTGGAGTTGTAACTGATGACGTCGGGGGTCAACCGCGACTCTGAAATCTCGTAAAGGAGACGCCAGGCCATTTGCCACTGCAGGCCCTTCCTGAATCCGAGCTCTCTATGACTCTGTTTTTGAAGCTACCCTCAAGGTCAGAGAGAGAGAGGAACACCACTGTTGGGGCACTCCTGCTTTGCGGCAAACCCATGCTTCCCTTGAAAGGTCACTAAGTCACAGCAAGCAAGAGCCCGTTTTCCGGAGATGATTTGTAAAACCATCGACGAGGGGGATATAGGGTTCCTCTGCGAATTCGGAGGCGACCACAAACGCATGACGGAGGCGCGGTTCACTAGGTGTCCCTTTGGAAAAATTGATGAGTCATTGCCAAACCCGTTTCGACAGGTGAAAGATAGATGGAGCCAGCGCCATCTGTGTTGAACCAAGCTAAGGGAGAAGGTAGCAGTGTAAACTCTTTACATGCGAACAGGGGCCACATGATTCGGCTTCTTAAGAAAAAGGGCTGGGAAAGTTGATCATATTTCACCACCCGACATGTCTTTTCGGATCTGAAAGGGTTAAGCGTCATGGGTGACGTCGCAAACCCCCGGAACGGCCAAAACCCAAAAATGCGTTGTACGGCATCTACGTCTCTGAGTCTGTGAACCCTTGCGAAGGGCCAACGTGAGCTTTCCAAATGGACTCACTGCGGAACTTGGAACCACGAAACAAGCAGGGGTCGATTCTTAAACCCTGGGCTCCGATCTGTGAAAAACACCGTTGGGTTTAAGTTTACCTGAAGGCAATCGAGAAATGGAACCCATTTCTATCAAGCTTGCGGGTCTCACAAGCGCTGATCGCCGAATTGAACGTGATGACGTCCGGCGATTGCTGGAAGTCGCACATGGCATGGAGGAGGGACAAGGCAGCGTTCCATTGGCCGCGCTTCTCGCAGGAGCTGATGGCGGAGTTGAAGGTGACAACGTCACGTCGAACCCTGGCAAGCGACTTGAAGCCCCTGCAAAAAGTTAACTGTTCACTGGTTGAAGGCAAACATGAAGGAATCCCAGCAGGGCAAAAGGGCAGGGCAAAAGGGCAGGGCAAAAGGGCAAAAGGGCAAAAGGGCAAAAGGGCAAAAGGGCAAAAAGGTGCATTGACCTAATGAGCCGCCTGCCTGCGCGTTGGCATTGACTGAAACCAATGAAGAGCAAGTTGCCACATCGCACTCTTCTCCAGCGAGCTCAGCACGGCATTGTAGCTGATCCTCTGACCGCGGCGTTTACGCCACCGAAAGCTTTGAAGTCCTCTAAAGCTTGGATGCCACAAGTCTGATTTGAAGGGCTCAATCATTGCTCAAATTGCGCTCCTGCCGGCCCAAACAGGTTTGAAAGTCCCCCCCCCACGACCCATACTCAGGCCCTTGTGAACACTCTACTCGCAAAAGAGGTCATCGACCCAACAACAAGGCTCGCGTCAGGCTGAAGATGGCTGGCCATGCGTTGAAAGAGTCCGCAGGCCAGCTGCCATTCACCCACTGCTGCGCACGCGCTGATGCCTTGGCATCAGAGGCTGCGGAACACCAAAAATGGGGGTCCAGGGACACCCAGGGAAACAACCTAAAATGGTCTACCCAGAACCACATAAAGAATTAAGAGGCGGCCATACGGGTCCAGTGACACCCAGAAAAACAACCTAGATTTGGCATAAGCGTTGAGGATTGGTTTTGAACCCGGGCCTGGAACAAGCTCAACTATGCGAACAAACATGTGCATTTTCGCATGATTCGTGTTGCACCACGGCCACATGAGAAACGGTCAAAACTCATTATGTGGACCATGGTCATGGTTCCTTGAAAGGAGTCCTTGTCATCTTGTTATGGTTGTCTACATTCCTTTGAAAGGGGTCCATGACCACCCCTACCAGCCTCAAGCACCGGGGTGTTTTGACGATGGCACACCTGGTTTCAAGCAACAGTCAAAGCTCACCGCAACCATCTCAAACAATGATGATGGTCTCGCAGCAGTCGTTCACAAGCACTTCATGCGTGGATTTGTTGCGCCAGGTTTTTTTTTGCCCACAGCTGACAGTGGACTTACATTATGTTATGTGTCATGCTCGAAGCATGTGTGGGTCATGGTGATGATTATCTTAGAAACCTTTACATTAAGTATCGCTAGCAACTGCCCAACCAAAGCGCTCTTTTGAACATGCCGCATAGGTGTCAAAGAATGATCGCAAGGACAATTTTACAACAACCTCCTCAGCATTGGGCAGCACATTCAATCAACTGAATCAATCAACCATACTCCATCAAGGCATTGCCAACGTGTTTGCCATCCAAGGCGTTCGTTGGCTAGTTAGTTGCACCCACAGCTTTTCTTCAGTTGCAAATCCATGAGAACCCCACGCGGTCGCAAGATGTGGCACATCGGCTGGAAGATGCCCCCCACAAAGGAAAGAGCCAGTCTGGGCGATGAGCTTTGGGACAGGGGGCCCGGATCCCTTCCACCAGGCCCTTACCCTCATGAAGGCGAGGTTCAAGCGCTGTAGAGCACCACGTCCGGCTGCCTTCGTCTCCCAGAGCTCTGCAGCGCTCGGAGCGCCGCGTCCAGCTGCGCGCCGCGGGCGCAGGCGCGGATTGCTGAGGTGTAGCTCGCAAGGCTGGGAATTCCGAGGCGGGGCCCTCGGGGCCCGGCGCGCGCCTGGACATCTCCGTCGGCCGGTTTTGGTGCAGCAAAAAAAAAATACGGTCCGAAGCGAATGGAGTTTGGAGGAAGCGAGCTTGGTGCAGGTCCCTGTGTAACCTGAAGAGAAACCTTGAGAATGAAGGGCTTTCTGGTTCTTTTTGTGGGGGTCCGGATAATTGAGACATTTTTCCCAGGGCAATCTACAATTTTGGGTCATGTAGCATCTGGGTTGGGCCGACCCTTTGAACATGACTAACCTCCTTTTGCTCTCCCTTTCAAAGGGAGCAGAGTTTGGTTCTTTGAACAATTCTGGTCCATCCCAGGTTAAAACCGTTGAACCAGGTTGGTTGAAACTGCCGAACACCTGGCACGACACGATCATATGACATGATTGGCAGGTGTTCTTCTGCAGCTCACATCTGTTTCATTCGCCTCCACGGGATCGTCTTCGGACTCCATGGCATGCAGCGCGGCAAGTGCCAACTGCCAGCTGCAGCCAAGGAGTATCGTGTGGCCATCCGACTCCGCAGAGCGAAAGATCTGCAAGGCAAGCGGCCAAGTTGTGGGCGTGTCACACGCCTGCCACGTCCTCCGGTTTTGAGCTCAAAAAGACAAACTGTTTGATAGTTTCTGGGGAAACAATCATACTTCAAAGGTTAACAGATTACACAATGCTAAAGGTCGTACCAACAAGCAACCCAAGTGTCGAGGTATAGGTAACCTTGGTCGGGCGAATCTGCGTAGAGCGCATTGCATGAAACAAATGCAAAGCTGGCTGCCACTGCCTCCCTGCAGCCAGCGCGTTGATCGTGGCATTGTAGCATATGACGTCTGGCCTGCTGTTCAAAAAGGAGAGTCCGCCAATCCAAGTCCGTAATCTCCTTTTGGGGGAGAAGAAGGGTCAAGGATTACCCATGTTGCCATGGAATCCACCACAGGCTGTAGGAATCTCGTCAACCCCTCACAATGATGGGAGGCTACCGTGCTCTATGAGGGTACAGATGCCCTATTGCAAGCAAGACAACCATGTTCAACCACAGAAACATGGCACATCCTAGCAAATTGGAGGGCTTCACTGTTCCATTACTTCCAATATCTTGCTGGTTCGATGGGAAGGGAATGAGAAATGGAATGACCCTGAAAAAAACAATCCTCTATGGTTTCCTTTCAGACAATCCCGAGACGGCTCATGCCCAACATCCTAAGTCATTCCCTACTCAGCACCAAGATATTTCAGGTCTCCAGCTGGGAACGACCCCAGCCTTGTCTCCATGGCCTGGAACAAGGTCCAGGCGTAGCTCCTCTGCCCCTTGCACGAGCTGATGGCAGTAGACCAGCTGACTGCGTCCGGGCGCACCCGTGCCCGCGCCATGTCCCCAAGCAGCTGCAAAGCTCCTTGCCACTGCAAACTCTGCTTGCAGGCACTGATCGTGGCGTTGAAGCTAATGAGATCCTGCAAACCGAGACGCCTGTATTAGGTCGACCCACTTTTCTTTGAAGACCCCCTAGCCTTTGAAGGGGAAAGGGTTCAGCGTTGCCACACGATCCTGCTGGATCTTTGCCTCCGGCATGGAGGCAAAAAGTCGGCACGCCTCCTGCCATGACTTGGACTGTCCAAAGGCGGTGATGCCCGCCGTGAAGCTGGGGGCGTCTAGCACGATGCCCTCCTCTCCCAGAATCCGGAGCGCCAAACTGAGCCTCCCTCGTTCTGCCAAACTCTTGACAGCTCCTGGGCCAGAAAAGGGTGACCATGACCAGGGCATCCAGAAGACAAGACTTTGAGAACGCAGGCCAGAAAGGGGTGACTTCCCTTATGTGTCAATCAGCAAACACGTATTGCAAACATGTGCAAACAGTAGCTTCCAGGAGAGGAGGCGTCAGCCTTTGGAAGTTGAAGACGTGAGTGACAGTGGATGTTCGATTGCTGCATTGACAGTGACACCCCTGGCTCAACCAAATCTTCGCACAAATGTACCCTTCCCGTCGGAGCTTTGACAAGACGGTGGCAACATTCCCTCTGCACCGTGCCACTTGGTCACAAACAAAAGAACCTAATTGCGCCCAAATAGACACAGCAAGCAGCCACCACTGCACATGCCTTGATTTCGGCCGCGCGTGCAGTTGAGGTTCTACCCAGCGCAGCCCTTCCCAGGAAGCGGAGTGCTTTAACTTCCGATCGCAGGCCAGGCAGTCGCAGTTTGCACATGGACCCGCATGCGACATGGCAAGCGATGCCGAGGAGTTCGGCTCGGCAATGGCTTAGCCGACATGTAATGCCGATCCCTTGAGTCCACTGAGGCAAAACCGAGGCGTATGGCCATTTGTTCAGGAGAGCTTCACTGCAAGCTGGACATATTTCTAAATACTGCCAGCCAAACTTGCTTAGACTCTAGATCAACGCAATTTATGCCGGTCCTTTGATTTCTGGTCCATGTTCAGTGAACACCAAAACGCTCAAAACCTTGAAACACATTGACACATACTGATGCATCTGGCGTCGGAATGACATTGACAGGACATCACTGTTGAAGTTGATGTGGTCAGCTGTTTAATTTCCTGTAAGCGGCCAAGGGCGGAATCGTTAGGTCAAAGGGGAGCCTGGTTCTTTCCAACCCCACAATGACAATCTGTGTTTCAACTCTCCACCTATTGTAGGCCTGAATGATTACAATGGGGTTGTGTGGTACTTCAAAACCAAACAATGTCATGAATCATGAGATAACCATATGTGCTTTGTGTTTGGCCCCTTCTATTCCCGCCTGTTTATGGAATCCAAAAAAAGAGCAAACCATCCCTGTGACTACTTTATCACTTTATCACTACAGCAACAAATTCCCTTGAAAACAGAGACTGGCAGCCTGAGACCCTCTTGAAATCCAATCCAAACCCATCGCTTCGATCGCTTCGATCTTTCGAAGTTCGAGGCGCCGTAAAGGTCAGCAGCGGCGCTTCCCGCAGCAGCGGGGAGAGCGCCAGGCGCATGGAGGCGGCGGTGTGCACTGCGAGGTGCAGCAGCGGAAAGGTGGCCTCGATCACTCCGCCGGACTCGTCTCTGGGACATCCGGGAGGGGTCCCCCCCGCCAAAAATGGCGGGATTGACCCATGATGTCTTTACAGAACTTGTAGCTCCTTGCGTTGCTCCCCTTGTTCAGGGCAAAATTGGATACCCCCTGCTTGGCTCCTTCCAAGCAGCAGCTAGTTTGCTGTGTTAAACTGTGTTGAGGGGTACCCGAAAAGTGTCTAATTGTTTGGGGGTTCATCTGGGGTGGTTTCCACTAACCCCCCTTGAGGATGTCATCTGAGTTTGTGGGCTTAGGGAAACCAATGTCTAGGTTTGCTGTTATTTGCTTCCCTCCAAACAACCCCACAACGGCAGCCAACATAAACACAGTCTGAGCTTGGCCATCGTGGCGTTCACACCCCCTTTTCTGACGCTTTTGTACACAGTATTCAGTAAGGCTATTCCAGAAAGGTCATCTGGGTTCATGGACAGGAATCAATATTTGTTGGCTGGATCACTTCGCGCCACTCGAGGGTAAGAAGCAAAAGCTAGACAACCTACTGTATTTGGCGAAGTTGGAGTGGTTAGATTAACTCAAAGTGGTAAGTTGGCAGGTGTTAACTTGCTAAGTTGGCAAGCTAACCCATATACCTAAATAACTTCCAACCAGATTAACTCCACTTGGAACAACTTGTGAGGTTGTATCCTAGGTTGGTACCTGAATTTTCACAACGTGGCCCACCAGTCGTGATAAACCGATCGCACAGTCTAAAGGAATGCTTGACCATTTACCCTCTAGAACCAGCCCAAATCCCCCGAAAACCCAACCACTAAAGGGATACCGTTGCGGTGCTTGACCCTTCTGTCCACTTTCCAGCTGACCTCGAAGTCCCTTGGACCATTTTCCGGACGTCTCCATTCTGAGAAGCGCACTTTGAGCCTCTGCACGCCGCGGGCCTCCGCGCGATCGTTGTGTCGGTTGATTTGTTCAAAGGGAAGTCGGACATTCCCAACCAAAAAGCAAGGGGCGAACGGGCGCCCTATTGTTTGTTGTTTGTTGAAGAGAAAAGGACACTCCCAACAAAGGAACGAGGGCAGCGGGCAACTGGGTGTCTCCTATTTTTGCGCGTTCCAAAGATGCAACCAAAAAAGCAGCTATTTCAAGGGGTCTTTCATTGAGATACATTTCGCAAAGGCTGAGTCAAGCGTTTTTTCTTTTGGGGGGGGGACCAACGGGTCATAGTCTGGAAATGTGTGTCCAAACCTCACATGGCAATGAGCCCGATTGCTTTCGCGAGAATTGGATCAACAACCGCAGTGGATGTGTGTGTGTGCTTCTTTGAGGGTACTGCTCTTGGTTTAAAGGGGAAGCAAAAGTGTACACCCACAAAGTGGGGTCCCCTTTGCCACATACCCACAGCGTTTCTCAAACAAGCTTCGGACGAAGGGAAACCCACAGGATTCCAACAGTTTTGCCGGCAGAACCCCCACATTGCTTCAGTGCCACTTCTCCAAAAATAATGCTTCTGAGGTCAACACTAATCACCTTCGGAGGGAACAACCAATGGTATCAACCCATTAAAACAACATGTGTTGAAGCTAGGCGTTGGCTGCACTGGGCTCCAGATGTTCCCTTACTAGAAATTCATTTTACAGGGCCCAACACGTGATGTTGAAAACCACCAAACAGGCGAAACATAAGTAACATTATGCCCGAATATCCCGGGAAACGCAGGGGCGGCGCCAACAGCCAAACAAAAGCCAACAGACAAAAACGCCTACAGTACTCCAAGGGTCGCGGGTCAAGGGCGCTGGCCGCAGGCTGTTGGCTGCTGATTGCTGAGTTGCTCCGGATTAGCGTCGACGCCGTGTTTATATTGAATTTTGAAATTCGAAACTCCAACTGCTCGGCCTGCGACCCCTTCGAACTCACGAAAAATCAAACGGCTTCAGGCAGGCGGCGCCAAAAAGCGTGCAAAAACATCGCGTGTAATTTCGCCCGTTCTAAAGCGCCTTTTTCAAGCTTCCGTGTAAGGCTCCCTTCTAAACGAGCCCGTATAACGGAGTCCGTATAGAATGTAGAACGTGTAAAACCCGCAATTTCCAGAACTGTGAGGGGTTTACTTTTTCTACATTTGCTTCTGCGGGGCCATAAGTAAGGCTTCCACAAGAGCCCTTATAAAGGGGTCCATATAAAATGTAGAACTTGTAAACCCTAAAATATCCAAGGGTTGGAGGGTGTTAATCTTCCTCGAAGAACTTCTTTTCTACAGGAGCCCTTATAAAATGTAGAACTTGTAAAACTGAAGGATTGGATGGTTTCCCATTTTCTACATTTGCTTCCAAAGGCCCCTTATCAAGCTTCCCGGCCAGGCTTCGTTCTACAGGAACCCTTACAAGGACCCCGTATAAAACACTTGTTTCTAAAAGACCTTTCTAAAGCTTCCTTGTGAACCTTCCTTCTAAAGGGGCCCCAAAAAAGAGGCCTTATAAAATGTAGAACTTGTAAACCCATCAACTTCCAGGGTTGGGACAGTTTTACATTCTCTACATTTGTTCTAAAAGGCTCTTACAAAGCTTGCTTATAAGCCTTCCTTCTAAAGCAGCCTTTGGTGACAGACAAACAGACTGGCTGACAAACAGACAGACTGACTGACTGGACTGACTGGCTGACTGACTGCCTGACTGTGACTGACAGAGACTGAGTGACTGACTGACTGGCTGGCTGACGGCCTGCTTTTTTGCCTCACTGACTGACTCACTGACTGACTGACTGACTGACTGACTCACTGACTGACTGACTGACTGAATGACTGACTGACTGACTGACTGAATGACTGACTGACTGACTGAGTGACCTCAGTGACCTCAGTGACCTCAGTGACCTCGGTGCCTACAGTCGAAGCCCTAAATATTGCAAATGCGAAGCAGACAAACAGATTGCACAGTCTACTAAAAGAAGGACTATGACATGACATCTGCAGCCCCCGCTCCCGAATGCAGCGTTGGACTTGCAATATTTTGGGCCTGGGAAGAAGGGCTACTCGCTTGGCCTCAACATTGCAGATGGGGGAGAGGGGCTCGCACGCAGTGAGCGGTGCCAGTGTCCCACATCCGTTTAGAGCTTTATGGTACCTGACCTGACCTAACCTGACCTGACCCTACCTGACCTGACCTGACTACTGACCAGACAGACGGACAGACAGACAGACAAACAGACAGACTCACAGACTGACAGACTGACCGGCTGGCTGACCTGACTCACTGACTCACTGACTCACTGACTCACGGACTCACTGACTCACTGACTCACTGACTCACTGACTCACTGACTCACTGACTCACTGACTCACTGACTCACCGCTGACTGACTGACCTACTTACTTACTGACTGACTATTGACCAACTACATAAGTAAATAACAGCGCAGCTAGCTCACTAATTAACTAGCCAATTAGCTATCTAGCTACTCACTCTCGAACTACGACAGGTTCACGTAATAAGCAAACTCATGGATTCCATCTATCAAAAGCCGCGACACGTGGCAGAAGATCCGCACTGCGAAGGACAGGCACACCAATCCACAGCCCGCAGCCACTGCCTTCCTCACTGCAGTTGTCTCAAAATTAGGGAGCCCAAGAAAATGATCTCAGCTTCTGTTTGATTGGTGGGTCGGATTGGTGGTTTGGCGGTTAGGAGGTGGCTTCCCATTTGCCCTCCACAAGTTCAAATCCCGAAACCGCCAATCCGCATCACCCAGGGTTGCTGAAAATGGGTCATCCTTGCATTCCTAGGCAAGCGAGCGACTGATCTCCTCCTCCCCCACCCCCCGCCGGTCGAACCCATTTCAAGACACACCCAACCTTTGAGTTCTTTGCAGTCTGACTAGCACGGTTCTTTGGATCATTCCTACACTAAGTCATCTGCAAGCCCCAGTCCAAGAATCAATATACAGTATGCTCGTTTTAGATCTGTTTTTTGGGCGTGTGATCCC